CCTTAGGTTGTGATGGGAGCGACTTATTGCAGTTTGAATAAAAGGTAGTAATACATGCAACTATTAGCTTTGCAGTGCGTTGAGAAGATAGTGGTTGGCCCTTGGAGCGATCTGCTAGTGATATGATAAGATGGTCTGTTTTCCGGATTCCTTGCGTCCTGTTGATATAGAACGCAAGGGCTCTATGTACGTCGAGCGTATGGAGAATTGCTTCACGCGAAGAGGCGTGCGGTTTGGGACAGAAGCAGGGAAGAACGATTGGCTTGTTCATGTGAAATTCAGTACAGACTTTAGGAATAAATGCTAGATAGTATCTCAACGTTATTGAGTCCTTACTGAACACTGTATATGGTGGAGATAACATGAGGGCTGCTAGCTCACTTACTCTGCATGCCGACATTATGACCAGCAGAAAGAGCATCTTAATCGTAAGTGCAGTGAGTCGTAGCCATTGGTTCGAATGGGGAACGTGTTAAGGTGTTTAGTACCAAATCAAGATTCCATGAAGGTGGTGGGGGCTTCCGTGGTGGATTAAGATTTGTGAGCCCCTTCAAAAACCTTTTGGTGGTAGAATGGGAGAATAATGACGCACCCTTCCATGGCGTGGTGAAATGCGTTAATTGCCACTAGATGTACCCACAAGGAGGCTATTGAAAGTCCTGCTCTTTGCAAGTGTAGGATATAATTAAGTACATGGTGCAACGGTGAAGTGTGTGGATTTGTATAATTACTGTTACACCATATTTTAAATCTAGATCATTTAGCCAAGTAAGTGGCTCTTGTGGAGTCCTTCCTACGTTCGGAACAACGGTCCTCAGATGCACGGAACCACTTAGCATCCAAGTGGTCAGATGTAGGATAAAACAGAGAGCCGTTCTGTTGAGTGAGCAGATCTGGCGGGGGGAGGGTGAGGAAGCGGTATGATATTTGCATGGACATTTGGTGAAGTGTTGGGTACCATGGTTGCCGTGCCCAAGCAGGGGCTATGAGAACCACCCGGGCTGCGTCCACTCTGATTTTTTCTAGGACCCTGGATACAAGGACAACTGGTAGGAATGCAGAGTAACGACGTTCCCCAATGGAGAAGAAAAGGCATCTCCCAAGGACTGATGGCCAATTCCTGCTCTGGAGCAATATTTTGGGCACTTCGCATTGGTGTAAGTAGCAAATAGGTCTATCATAGGGAAACCCCAACGACAGAAGATATGATGCAGAATGTTGGCCCGGATTTCCCACTTGGGATCGTGAAGGAATTGTCTGCTAAGTGAATCCGCAATAGCATTGTTGGCACCAGGTAAGTACGATGCTATGAGGGTAATGTCATTGCGAATACACCAGTTCCATAAGTGGATCGCCTCTGCACAGAGGGATCGAGACTGAGCCCCCTCTTGTCTGTTGACGTAATACATCGTTGCAATGTTGTTGTGCCCATTGTATAGGATTTGAAATGTCTGCAGGCGTGAAACACTACTCTGAGCTCAAGTATGTTGATGTGTAGCAACATTTCTGCTTCGGATCAACAGCCCTGAACTATTAACTTGCCTGTGTGAGCTCCCCAATCGATGAGGGAAGCATCTGTGGTTATCTGTTTCGATGGTTGGGGATGGCGAAAGGTGGTGGCGGTTCACTACTGGAGAGATTCTTGGACGTGCTGTGGTAGAACTACCAGTTTGTGATGCTGTGCTTCACAGGAATGTAAATGGAGGCCAGCCAATGCTGGAGGCAACGAAAATGTAACTTTGCATGTTGGACCACGACGGTGGTAGCTGCCGTGTGGCCCATTAATTATAGGAAAACGCACATGGGAAGTATTGACGACTGCATCAGCATGTTTATTAGGTCCTGAATTGCGTGGAAATGTTTGACAGGTAAATATGCTTGTGCCAAAATCGAGTAGATTTGAGCTCCTATGAAAATCAGAGTTTGATCTGGCTCTTGTGATGATTTTGGTATGTTTTTAATGAGTCCAAGGGACTTGAATGTCTGTCTCATTATCGCTACCATTCTGCGCGTCTCTGAACAGGTGCGACCTCTGAGGAGGCAGTCATCTAAATAGGGAAATATCATAATCCCTGTCCTGCGAAGGTGGGCTGCAACTACTGCCAGGGTTTTGGACAACACCCTGGGAGCGGATGCGAGGCCGAAAGGAAGTACTCTGTACTGAAAATGTTCATCTCCTACTACGAATCGAAGAAAACACCTGAGTGCCACATGTATCGCAATATGGAAATAGGCGTCCTGTAAGCTGAGGACCGTGAACCAATCTCCGTTATTCAGTGATGGTATAATCGTGGTTAGGGTCACCATCTTGAAACATTGCTTCTGAAGGTATTGGGTTTAGGTTTCGTAGATTTAGAATAGGTCTCCATCCCCTGGACGTTTTGGGAATGAGGAAATACCGAGAATAAAATCTTTTCCCCAGGAACTCATTGGGCACTCTCTCTATGTTTCAGTAGGTCCTTGTGAGATGGGTCCCTGAAGAGGGATGGGGTGGATGGAGTAGTTAGGGGTATGGAGGTGAGCGGAATAGTGCGACTGGATGCTACTATTTCTAAGACCCATCGGTCCGAGATGATGTTGACCCACTGATGGTAATATGGTCTTAGCAGATAGTGAAACAGAAGAACTTGCGCGCATCCTCGACAAAGCAGTCAAATCTGCTGCTTTGAAGAAGGTTGATTTGACGAACGGGCCGCCCAAGGTCACTTCTGTTGTGGCTGTTGTCTGAAGCGCCACTGATCAAGAGTGCAGTGCTGTTACTTGTGGAGTGTATAGTCATACCTTCTTTGGTAGGTGTAATAACGTTTACGCTTGTAGGGAGGCGTATACATTCTCAGCGTGTGAAGAGTGGTACAAGACTCCTTCCCTGAGTGAAGGACCCCATCTGTCTTAGTGGCAATCAGCCACTGTTTGTTGAATGGAAGATCTTCAACTTTACTCTGGAGCTCTTTCGGAACTCCCACTGACAGAAGCCATTTTTCTTTCAAGCGGCAGTCCTAGGAGAAAAAGCCCTGCATTTTTGTGTAGGGTGTTCAGCGCTAGCAGCCAGAGGGGCGTCAGAAGGTTGGAGCTCCTTGTCGAACAATATCAATTTTAGGTGCATCTCTTGGTCTCTCCAAGCTCTGGCAGTCAGCTTGCAGCAATGGGTGCATTTTTGTGGCACATGCGCCTCCCCAAGCACCTGATACATGCCGTATGGCCGTCTGAGGCCGGCATTGCCTCGCGGCAGACGGTACATTTTTTAAAACTTGGAGAGCCAGGCATTTTAGCGTCATTTTCTTGTTTTTTGTTGTTCGGATTTTATTTTATTTATTTATTTATTTTAGGCGGCTGATCTGTAACGGTTAAGCTACTTAAAACTGTTTTTTTTTAAAACTATAACACAAAGTATAACTAAAACAGATTGAGAAGAACTACTAAAAACTATTAACTTGTCAACTATTTACAGATACTTGTTTGAGGAACACTGAGGAGAAAAGGGAGCTCTGTCCGTGACCAAGGGCGGTTGAGAAGAGCTGGGCGGGGCCGTACCGGGCGCGGCCATACCCGGTGCAACAGATGAAAAGCACGAATTGAGCGAGGTGCTGGTTGTGCATGCGCGGTCCAGCGGAGCACGACTTATGGCAAGTCTCCAACCCGTGGCACCGGGATGAGCCTGACACCAGTAGTGGAGCACCCATGGGAGACCACTCAAAGAAGAACTACGGCACTCTCAGGCCAACAGTGGTTGAGAAGAAATGGGAGAGATCGGGCTGCGCATTCGTAGTGATGACTAGCACGGTGTATGCTGATTCATGCTGTGCACACACGGTCCAGCAGTAACTGCTTCAAAATCTCTGATCCAAGGCCAAGTGAGGAGCATCCATCGGGACCTCTGGAAGAAGACAGGTTATAAGAATGTTTTACTTGCACAACAAAATACTTCACACTTGTAGAACTTTCCAGTAAATGTTCTAACAATCAGTTATCACATACCCTAAATTTTACAAGTCAGATAAAAAAATGCCAAACTAAGATTTTACGGATTTAAGAATTGTTTAAGCTACTAAAACCATGTGCAACTCACAATTTATATCTAGACTAGGGGTGTGAACATGTATCTGAGTACACAGTTAACCGATGAGGCTGGACTCATTGGTTAACCCTCTCAGTTACAGGCAGTTAAAGGCAGTGGAGGAATGAGGAGGCAAGCAGGTGTGCATGGGGGAGCCAGCTTTTAAACTGACTCCCCGTACAGGGCAGATCCTGTGGAGCTGCCTGCTCTCTCCACCCCATGCGGAGGGAGGAAGAAAGGGAGGCAGGAGCTGGCTTAAAAGCCTGCCCTCACCCATGCTGTATCAGAGGCAGCAGCACGAGGGAGGGAGGGAGGGGAGGTGGGAACCTGAACACAGGTGGGAAGAAGGAAAATGGCAACCAGTGCTGGCACGGGAGCTGGCTTAAAAGCCAGCTCATGCCTCCCCCACTGCATGTAAATGTGTAACCGCTAAAAAATTCAGCAGTTACACATTTATACAAATAACCCCATTTTAACATCCTTAATCTAGACTGATGCTCTTATGTCATCCCTTCATATTTTCACAAACAAAACTGAAGAGAAAGATCACTGCCAAAATTTTCAAGCCTGGGTTCCTAAAATCCATTCTTGGGCACATACATTGAAATTCAGGCTGCTTCTTAAGTGCTGAACACCTGCAGCTCCTGTTGAGTACAATGGTGGCCAGGATTGACTGTCAACTCCGAAAAACGGAAGTGGCTTGGAGTCTGATCAGTTTTAAACTACACTGGAGCTCGATAGGAGGTACGCCAGGGCTTTGAAATGACAGGCTGCTTCTATTCAAGTGCCTAAACATGTATTTGGGAGACTAACTGTAGGTGTCCATGTTTGAAAATGCCGACCAAAGATTCAAACTTTTATTTCATGCTTTAGATGTGAAGAGTCTGTAGTTTGTCTATAAGGTCTTTTATTGTTCATTGTCACCATTCTGAAGAGACAGAGACCATTTATTTCTTTAAACTTTATTTCTTCATAATTACAGGCTACTGTTAGACTTTTAAACAAATGTAGAGTCTATAAATAAAGGCTAACCCCATGTGGCCAAGTTTTCAAGAGCCAGTTAAAATTAATAAGTAATGCCATTTAGCTCACAGCAGTGGTTTATTGGTAATCTTAACTACTCAGAGTCAGTAACATGAAATGTAACATCAAATGACTCAAAACTTTAAATTCCACACAGGAAAGCATGAATATATATAATATATACATATAATATTGTATTGGTCCACTGAGTATACATTTTTAACAAAAGATAAGAATCTGTAGTCCAGTTAAGCATACAATATGCAAGATTAGTGTACACTTATTACAAAGGTTGTATACATAAGTTATAGATATTTAATACTTGCATGAGGTTTCTTTAAGTTGCTTTTTTGAGCGGATGTTGCAAATGCTCTTTTCCCAGTGCAAAAGAAAAGCTGTCCAAGTCAAGTTACCCATTTTCCTGAAAGAATGAAAATTGCCTTCTTCAAAATCGCTTGCAGCAGTGACCCTAGCTAACTGGAACTTTTAAAACAAACTAAAAGTGTGGCTAATGAATCATTCCTTGCTTCACACAAGTTTTGTGATTATTTTTGTCTTGAAACACTTCTAATCTCAGGATAAATACACCAAAATAAAAAGTGCAAGGAAGAACATCAGATATATATTGCTGCAGTCCAATTGTGTGTGTGTGTGTGTGTGTGTGTGTGTGTGTGTGTGTGTGTGTACACAGGATCAAAAAAGCATCATTTGGAATGACACAAATGGATCTGACATTCTTACATTTATACAACAGGCAATAAATTACTTTCATTAACATTTTATCAACCTACTTTGACTCAGTGACCATAAAGAATTATAAATCAGTTTTTCTTAATAAGGTGCAACTATCAGTTGACATTCAATAAATTAAATGTATAGAAAAAGACTGTTGTATAAAGTTAAACTATGCCTTTATTTGTCCTACTTCTCTATCCTACTTCAAATTCAAATTTACCACATTGCCAGCTTAGACGTATACTGGCTCAACTAGAAGTGGGGCTTCCATTTTTTTGAGTCATTTTGGCCAACAGTGAATTCATGTTAATTATCCATTTAGTTTTTCGATGTTACAAAAAAAATCTTGCTTCAAGCCTCCCAACCTTATAACCATGCAAAAAAGCAATTAAAGTTTCAATCTTTCCCACTTGTACTCTTAATTTCAAGTCCAGCAGTAAAACCTTCATTAACAATAATATAAAATAAAGCACTCGACAGTTCCAGCATTACTGAAGTCTGCTCTGAAAAAGTACAAAAGATTTCAAACAACTGTAACAACCTGGCTGGAAGGGGGTCAGGAAGGCAGAGTAACTGCCATGTTCATCTTCTGCTCAATTATACTTGCTCACAGATTATACTTAAACTTTACTCTCATTGCTTGCATTATACACTGATTTATTTACAGGTAGGAAATATGCTTTACTTTCCTGAAATATGTTTTCTGAGAGAGTATATGCTAAAATTAATGGAATATTCAAATCTAAAAATAACTAAAGATGGAATTCAGCAGAAATGTCCACACACCTTCTATACCATAAACAGATAGTAGAAGGATCTGGCCTTTTTATGAGACTGCACACAATCTGCACAGAAGCTAATCTGTTCTTTGTTAATTTTTTTTTAATTACTCAGCTCTGTACACCATGGTACAAAATATAAAATGCAGGCTTTCACCTTCATCTTTAATATTATACCCCTTTCAACAACATACTTTCCAAAGGAACATGATTGAGACAATATTTTGCTTGTCTGATGTCTCAACGTTGGTCTTCCATAATTACAAGGGTTCATAAAGATATCTTCACATATCACCAGAACGATAACCACTTTCCTTAAGGAGATTAAATCTACCTAATCTTTCTATATTACATAAAGACACTTTGATGTCATGGGTTTACAGAAGAAAAATTACACAGACTAAAAGTTCTAGGAGAAAACTCATGGAAGCAGCATTCTGTTAACTGATAAGCTTAGTGAAAAAATTTAGGAAACTTGCATATCAAAATGGGAGAAATATAAAGGTGATTATTCAATCACAACTGCGGGAATTTAAAACCTTTCATATTTTGCTGTTCATAGGTAGCTTCTGATTAACATTTCAAATAGGTTAATTTTTCAGGAAAAAGGGACAAAACAGTTGACATAAGACAATGTTGTTCTAAGCTTCATGCTTCTGATATTTCAGATTTACTGAGTGCAATAGCCAGCTCCAAGTCTTCTTGCTCTTGTTGTTTTAATCTTGCAAGTCTCTCTTTTTCTTCTCTCTCACTTTCCCTCTTAGCCCATTCAATCATATCTTCTTCAGTAGGATACTGCAATTTAAATACATAAATAAATAAATAAATAAATAAATAAATAAATAAATAAATATGGATTTAATCAGAATGTAACTGCACAATACAAAGACTCTCAGACTCAAGTACATTTAAACTGTTTCAAAATATCATGGATTTATTTTAGGTTTAGAATTTGTCTCTGTGCTGAAAAATGTGTTTCAAGAGTAGCCTGGTACAATTTCATTTGTAGTTTAAATAAGAATTGCACTAGCACAGTCCTGAAGATTAACTGTTTGATCAAAAATACTACCTGTTCAATTATCACCAATTTAAAGATACAATCTGGGAATCTGCTGAACACAGTGACCTATGCAAAGTACTCATAACTTCAAGCATATGAGCAATCCTAATGAACAAAACTGAGTCCTAAATTTAGACAGAGAAAACAATGCTACTGCATCAATCACTTTAAACTGTTTAACAAAATAATTCTAGGTATTAGGATCAGAGACCTCAGGAAGAGTTGGAAGAGACCTTAGGAGATCATCGAGGTCAATCCCCTGCTAAAAGCAGGACCAATCCCAACTAAATTACCCCGGCCAAGGATCTGTCAAATTGGGGTTTAAAAACCTCTAGGTATGTAGATTCCACCACCTTCTGAGGTAACCCATTTCACTGCTTCACCAACTTCCTAATTACATATTTTTTCGTAATATCCAACCTAGACCTCCCCCACTGCCACTTGAGACTACTGCTCCTTGTTCTGACATCTGTCACCACTCAGAACAGCCTCTCTCTCCAGCTCTTTGGGACCCCTTCAGGTACTTGAAGGCTGCTATCAAATCCCCCCTTACTATTCTCTTCTGAAGATTAAATAAGACCAGATTTCTCAGCCCCTCCTCAAAAGCCATGTACTCCAGCTCCCTAATAATTTTTGTTGCCCTCCACGGGACTCTCTCCAACCAAATGTGAATAAATTGGTAGTCCCTCATACACTACAGGATACATCTGGCACTGTGGAACAACTATCTTTTCCCTCATTTAACAGTGTTGTGCTCCTTTAAAGATATTTTTCCCAGTGGCAGTGACTGCAGAATGAACTGTGCAGCTGGTGTCACTAGAAAAATGATTCTGCAGAGGAATACAGTATAAGCCAAGTACCTCTGTAACTGCTCTCCTGTCCTTACATGGAAAAAAAGGGGGAGGGGAGAGAGAAAATAAAAGATAAAGGTGTATGTTTGCAAACAGAACATGAAGTGAGCTGCTCAAATATTACAGTATTTCGATGTCATGGTCCCAAATAAGGAATGGGATTATCAGCAATACAGTACAAAAATTAATGCCAAACATGGTTCTATTAGCATTCCAGAGAAGGCATAGATTGAGTATAACAGAGAGATGGCTACTTTAAAAAACTAAAACTCATTTCTCCGTTAACTGCTATTTCTAAACTTGACATTTTTGTAGACACAAAACAATTTGAGAAACAATGTGATTCCTTTCTGAAGCCCATAGTCAAAGGTCCCTGAAACTGAAAGATACCATTCCATCCACCACTCTCCTTTACCCTGTCAGGTTTGCAACCTAGTCCATCTAAGAATCAGTATGAGCAAGAAGAGTATTTTAGAGATTTCCATAGTACAACAAGCAGCACAACCCAAATTAATAAACCACCACCTGTCAAATTAAAAACTGGAACAGCGTTTACTCACCAGACATACAATTTACAAGGACTAAACAGAGCATGAGCAACCTGGCCAGGTTACTATAAGTACAACTTGCTATCATTATATAAAAATCCACTCAAAGAGGCATGAAAGCTGGAAGAGAAACAAAGCTTTCCACAATTCTTACTTGCGAAGCACAGAGAAAATAATTTCATATACATAGAAACATACTCAAAATGTCAGTTTGCTCTTATTGCTTGGTCCCAGGGATTTATGTGAAATAGATAACTGTTTATAAATACATGCCACATTTTAACTTATTATACCTGTGCCTCCAATTTACTAACCATTTAACTCTCTCAAATATAATTATATTCCATTCATTTATATTTTATAAACACAAACCTTATATAATTATCTATTGTGGAATATTGGAATTGTAACCAAACATTTTAGAGATTGCTAAGAAAAAAAACTAACAGGATCTTAATTTTATTTTTAAATTCTGTAATGATCGCATCATGCCATATGATTTGAACTTGTGAATATTTAAATGTATTGTGTAGTCTAACACAGGGGTGGGCAGAAGGGCCTCTATGGGCCAGATCCCGCCTGCCAAGCAAGTTGATCCAGTCCATGGAGGCCTTGCTGCTCCCCCCGCCCTCAGGTCAATCAAGCCCTGGGGGCAGAGAGAAGCACGTGAAGTCTCCCCCCATCCTACCCCTGCCCTGCAAGGAGTGTGCAGTGCTTAGAACCACCCAGTGCTCCTGGCAGGGCAGGAGGAGACTTCACATACTCTCCCTGCTCCCAAGCCCTGATTGACCTGGGGTCAGGGGGAGAGAGGAGTGTGCGAAGTCTGCTCTTGCCTTTGTGAGGAGTGCAGCACTTCTAAGCACTGCACTCTCCTTGCAGGACAGGGGCAAGGTGGGAGGAGACTTTGCACACTCCCTGAACCCCAGGTCTATAAACACTTGGGGGTGAGGGGAGCACATGAAGTCTCCTCCCACCTTGCAAGGGGCTCAGCACTTAAAGTCAACTGCCAGCCGCTGCTCAGCTAGCTGTATACTCTAAGTGCGGCGCTCCCTTGCAGGGCAAGTGTAGGGAGCAAGAGACTTCACATGCTCCCCCTCCCTAGACCGTGACTGACCTGGGGGCAGCAGGGGGGAGCACCGCCAGAGGCACAGGTACCTAGAGGGAACGGCCAGCTCTTCAGAACAGCTGACTGTACTCTTTGGGGGAGGGGAGGGGAGGGCAAAGACATTGCTCGCTCCCCCACCCCAAGACCAATCAGGGTCTGTGGGTGGGGAAACACAGAAATGTCCTGGCCATGGCCCTTCCGCCTGAGGCCCAGCCCCTTCCAGTCATAAATTATTGCTCACCCCTGGTATAACATGACGGATGTCAACTAGAATACCTACACAATTACATAAATTATCTGATAACTGCTTTGTAAAAGTCTGGAACCCTTCAGGGAAAACTTTTACGCAATCAATATAACCTCAATAATAACAACAAAATTCTGCATTGTTTATACTGAAGAATGGATTATACCAGCCTTAATTACAACTACACGTACCTTATCAAGTACCTGCTCTAAACATATCGTGAACCTTTTAAAAGTTAATTAGAGCTGGTAAGAAAAGGGATTACATAGTTCTGAAGACAAGTTTTGGCAATTTTAAATTAAATCTGAAGATTTTACTACAGATTGAATCTCTAAAATCTGGGAATCTCTGGTCCAGCAACACTGGACCACAGATATTGCTGGACCAGAGAGCCCCGGCTGGCCAGGTTCAGAAGTGCAGCCCAGGTTGTGCTGGCAGTAGGGAGCGCATCCCCAGCCGGAGTCGGAGGCAGCAGGGCCAGTAGCCAGAGGCGAAGCTCTGGCTAAGGTTGTCAGGGTGAGGCGTGCAGCCCCGCCCAGGGCTCACATTGTGGAAACAGACTCAGTTGGGACTGGCGTGGTGGGGAGTGGCGTAGGGTGAGGATGCAGCCTCAGTCAGGGCTGGTGGCAGCGAGTGCTGCCCCAGCCAAGCTTGGAGGAAGCAAGGTTAGCAGTCAGGAGTGCAGCCCTGGCTGGTGCTGGAGTAAGTGGAACCGGCAGCTGGACGCACAACCCAAACCAGTGATGTGGGGGGCACATCCCCAGCCAGGGCTAGAGGCAGAGAGGCCAGCCCTTGTGTGGAGCTGGTGCAGAAGGGGCTGCAGCCCCAGTCAGGACTGGCACAGTGGGGGGCTGGAGGCAGCGAAGGACGGCAAGGAACGCAGGCTCTGCTCCCGCTGAGACTATCTATCAGCACCCACTTACAACTCTCTGTAGCCTTGACCTCCCCTTGTCCAGAAAACTCCATGGTTCAGGACCACTCAGGTCCCGATGGTGCCAGAGAGAAGGAAGGTTTGACCTGTATAATTGAATCATTCCAGAAAGTTTTAAAAATGCTTCCTCACCTCAAGAAACAAATATATAAAAGTATCTACTTACTGCACTGAAGTTTGCAAAATTGCTAGTGTCTGTGTCTTTACCAATATTGCTGGGAGCAAATGGGTCACAAAATAGATCAGCTTCTTGTTCTTTGGTAACATCACAGCCTGGGAAAGGCTGAAACGGATCATTCTGTTTAAAGGAATCTGAAGAATCCAGTTTGTTGTTAGGTCTTTTCCCTGGATCAAAAATAATCCAAGTCAACTCAAATGGCCACAAAAATAGCAGCAAGTGTAATCTAAGCAAATAAAGCAGTCCTGCCCTTCAAAAAGCAGAGTGAAATTTCACCAAAATAATGTTACAAATTAGAGCTAATATTTTAAAAGTTTTATTTACTGATAATAGCGCAAGATTTAAATCGTTCCTCCCTTACCAAAAGCAGAACCCAATTAATTATTCTGTTATTTTATTACCATTGTATACTATCTTCTGACAGTCTAATTTTTATGGTATAGCTTTCGTTAACAATTTAAAACTCTTATAATATAGTACTCCATAATAATGCACTAGTGTTCACATAAGCCTAAATGCAAATGGAATAAAGACTGGAGTTTGAAAAGGAATGCAACTGCTACTACACTTAAGCCTACCGGTATCTCTTCAAAATTTGATTTCCAAGGTAAAAAAATAAAATGAAATGTTCATTGTAATTAAGATACTACACTTGCTTTGAATCAATAACACGTTACAATGGCTGTAACTTCTTTACCTATCTATGCTCCTTCTGGTGGGCAGGAAGCATGGGTCCATTATTTAGGGAATAAGACTACAAGTTAGCAATCTTGGGTTTTATTACTAACTCTTCCATTGACTAACCTACGTTACCTTAGAAAAGGCACTTGGGATGTAAAGAGGTTAAATTTCAAAAAAGGAAACTGTTTTGAAAACTAGAGACCTTCAATGGTACTTGCACTGAAGTGGGTTATTTGTTTTTAACACAGAACCTCCTAAGATTTGTTATCTATTAACACCTACTGGCAGCTCTCTGTAGTAACTATGGATGTAATAGTGCAGCCGGTTAAGCATCCGTTTATCGGTTAATCATTTATCGGTTAATGCTATCGGATACACCCAATCCCCCGCCCCTCTGCGACTCTGTATTTACAGTGCAGGTTGGACCTCCTTTGTCTGGCACTGTCAGGACCTGACTGGTCCCGAAAAAAAAAGAATTTGCTGGACCAGGGGACGTCTTCTGCCACTGGCTCCCAAAGCTGCCCCAGCAGGCACTTGCCTCCCAACCTCAACTCAACCTGGCTGGGCTGCTTGCCCAGCTGCTGCCGGCTCTCTGGGCAGCAGAGGATCTGGCTCCTGCCACAGGACTCCAGCCCTGCATATCCGGGGGCAGCCACGGGGCTCTGGCCCCGGCCCTGCACTCCAGGGAGCTACTCTCTGGGCAGCAGAGGATCTGGCTCCTGCCACAGGACTCCAGCCCTGCATATCCGGGGGCAGCCACGGGGCTCTGGCCCCGGCCCTGCACTCCAGGGGGCTACTGTGGGGCTCTGGCCCTGGCCCTGCACTCCAGGGGGCTACTGTGGGGCTCCAGCCTCATGCTACCACAAGGCTCAACTCGAGCCCCACACTCCTGGGGGATGCTGCAATGCCCCAGTTTTGTGCTCTGGGAACTACTGCAGAGCTCTGGCTCCAGCCCTGAGTTCCAAGAAGCTGCCAGAGGACTCTGGTCTCATGCTGCCATGGGATTCTGACCTTAGCCCCAAGCTCCTGGGGGCTGCCAAAGGGCTCCAGTCCAGCACCAATCTGTGCTGCTGGGGGACTCCTGCATGGCCCTGCACAGCCTCAGGATGCTGGAGGTTGTCGTGGGGCTCTGGCCTCTGTTTTGTACCGCCCCCAGCTGGGCTGCCAACCCTGTTGCCCCAGCCAGCTGGCCCTTCTGCACTTAGGCTCTTAGGCTCTCTGATCCAGGAGCATCTGTGGTTCTGTAAGACAACGGATGTTGCCAGACCACAGAGCACCGGTTTTTGGAGGTACAACCTGTATTTTGGGAACCAGCGCACAAGCACACTGGCTCAGTCCCAGCACTCTTAGCAAGTTTGCAGATGACACTAAACTAGGGGGAGACATAAATACGCTGGAGGGTAGAGATAGGGTCCAGAGTGATCTGGACAGATTAGAGGATTGGGCCAAAATAAATCTAATGAGGTTGAACAAGGACAATTGCAGCATCCTGCACTTGGGACGGAAGAATCCCAAGCATTGTTACAAGCTGGGGACTGAATAGCTAAGTAGCAGTTCAGCAGAAAAGGACCTAGGGATTACAGTGGATGAGTAGCTGTATATGCGTCAACAGTGTGCCCTTGCAGCCAAGAAGGCTAATGGTATATTAGGGTGCATTAGGAGGAGCATTGCCAGCAGATCCAGAGAAGTGATTATTCCCCTTTATTTGGCTCTGGGGAGGCCACATATGGAATAGTGTGTCCAGTTCTGGGCCCCCCACTATAGAAAGGATGCGGACACATTGGACAGGGTCCAGCAGAGGGCGACCAAAATGATTAGGGGGCTGGAGCACACAATTTATGAGGAGAGACTGAGGGACTTGGATTTGTTTAGTCTGCAAAAGAGAAGAGTGGGGGTGGGGAGGGGGATTTGATAGCAGCCTTCAGCTTCCTGAAGGGAGGTTCCAAAGAGGATGGAGAGAGGCTGTTCTCAGTAGTGACAGATGGCAGAACAAGGAGTAATGGTCTCAAGTTACAGTGGGGGAGGTCTAGGTTGGATATTAGGAAAAACTATTTCACTAGGAGGGTGGTGAAGCACTGGAATGGGTTGCCTAGGGAGGTGGTGGAATCTCCATCTCTAGAAGTGTGCAAGTCTCGGCTTGACAAAGCCGTGGCTGGGTTGATTTAGTTGGGATTGGTCCTGCCTTGGGCAGGGGGCTACACTTGATGACCTCCTGAGGTCTCTTCCAGCTCTGATTCTATGATATTTTTGGACCTGGTGCAAGACGGAACCGAGCCAGCATGCTTGCACATCAGCTCTCAAGCTCTTTAAACACTGGGCTGCAGAAAGGGTAGCTGTTGCACCTGGTGCAAGCCAGGACTGAGCCAGCATGCTTGCACACCGGCTGTTATGCCCTTTTAAATGAAGAACTGCTTATTGGTTAATCATGTAGCCAATGATTACTGAATGACACACTTCCTAACTTTCCTACTAGTAACACTATTTCTTTGTAGAAATTTGAAGTTAGGTTTTCTCCTTTTTTCAGTTTCTTGCTCTCTCCAAACAAACTGCTGACCTAACATTCACGGGGAATTTAACATCAGAGAAGGTGTAAGCAGTACAGGGGCAGAGTTCTTTCATATTTTGCCAGTTCCTGAATACTTTTATTATAGTTCCACAGGAAATCAAACTATGTTTTCTTACAACCATCACATCATTACAGAAGAAGGCAAAACAAACTTTACTGGAATCTCAAGTATTAGCTTTTACCAGGTGGTGGAGGGCAGGGTCTTGAAGGAGTTGCAGTCTTGGGGGGCAAAGCGGGAGGAATATCCTCATTTTTAGCTGGTGGCTCTTCAAATATATTTTTAGTTATGACCACATTGTTTACAGAGCCTGATGTGGAGGAAATAAAAGGATCTTCATTGTTGGCCTATTAAAAAAAATAATAATAAATGCTATTTTACCATTTTCTTCAACATAATCGAATTCTGCTCCTCCCCTCCTTTCTTTCATAAAGCAATGAGCAATACTTAACCACAATTAGAAAAAAACAGTGAAGGTGCAAGCAAATCAGGGAATGTGTCAGCATTTCTCTGTTTAGCACAATACTAAAGGAGTATTATTAACTATTTACATTATGGTAACATTCGGCGGGCCAAATCAAACCCCATTTTGCTAAAATCTGAATAAAGAAGAGAGAATCCCTGCTCTGAAGACCTTAGCATATGGAGAACAGTACAGCATACTCCATATAACAATAACTTGTTCAGTCATTTGGTACAAGGAGAAAGAAGACAAATAGCTCAGAAAACAGCACAAGTTGCCTACAATATAACCATACTGTCCCACAGTTCTCATGGTCCACAATGTAAGGAAGTCAGGTTTAGTGAAACAAGAGGTAATTCAAAATGAAAGCACAAGAGGGAATCTTGAAATTCCACTGAAACCAGCAAAGTGTTCTCAGGTTATTAGCTGAAGAATTAAACTCAGCATACAACACTGATGAAGATCCCAGGTTAATACTAAAAGTCTGTTATAAGGTCATAGACCAATGCTCATGAATTCAAAGAATTCATGACATTGGACAATAAAAAGCTACAATGGTAATCCTGGCACCATCTTCTCTATCTACTCAAACTCTTGCTCTCATTTACCAATAACTCATTGTTAGAACTCATACATAACACATATGTAAGGTCAATGCCTCAAAGACTCCACTGTCTAGTCCACATAGAGGGTATTTTTTACACTGTGATTAATGTATACAGTACTGGGCATGCAATTATCAGATTCCTTCTCAGACCCAGAGATATGACACTAAGGCCATGCCTACAGTAGGATAGTGCATGTTTTCAAAAACAGGATCGCTAAACACATTTAAAATGCTTGCATGAAAGCACTGAATTCAATTGGCCAGGATTTCATCCATGATGTAGATTGGACAAATCACTATGTATGTTAAAACAACAGATTGCTCTGTCTACAGTAGGATTTTGAAATGTATTATCAATTACTTTTTAACATACATTGCTTCCTCCCTGACCATGCAGACATACCCCAAATGGATGCCTGTTTGGGAATCAATTCAAAAAGATCAATGTGACTAGTACTAGTGTGACAGCAGCAAACAGCTGAGGAATCCACACAACTAAACAGGTTGAATGTAACTAGCCTGGGAGCTACAACTGGGAGAAATGCGGTAAAATAAAGTTTTACAAGTTTTCTAACATTAAAAAAAATTACTTTTAAAGTAGCAGCATTCTGAACTGCTATAATAAAATGTTTACAACAGCATTCATCACAGGGCATTGTAGGGCACATTACTATAAGGCCTTTCAGAAAGTCAACCACTGTCAATTTTTATTGAAGAATAAAAACTCAATACCAGTTGAACAATTCTATTGCTGAGAACACTAGATCTTCTTTGTGTTTCAGTTACTGTAGCATTTTATGCCTTTTCCACGTATGTTAATCATTTCAGATTACCTTTGACAGTGTGCTAAAGTCAGCAAAACTGCATCCAAATGACTCGTTTCCAAATAGAGAAGAAAAAGGATCTGTAGCTAAAATAAGCAAAAAGAATAAACAGAACAGTGCTGAAGAACCAAATGTTACATTCTGTTTTTGTTGCTGAAACAACATGAAAGGCATATGCCACGTTTAGTTCAAATTGTATTTTCCAAATTGTATACTCATATAAAAAACACTATACAAAAAGTATATTTAATATTTCTGTGATTATTCCAAATAAATCTCTTTAAAAGGTGAATGATTTTATCCTTTGAATTGTTTCAGTAGAAACATTTTTGCTTTCGTAAAAGCAAATATTGCTATTTACCAATATGAAATACTCATTTCTCTGGAGAGGTGTTTTTTTCAGGAAATAGCACTGCGATACTCCAGTTTTCTAGCAGAGAAAGCAGAATGTGTCTTTGTATCTACAGCAAAAACACACATTGTTTGGAAACTCAACTCCAGGAGCAAAGCTTTGGCTTTTGCAGAATCTAAGACAACCCCATTAAATCCTGATCTCTAAATAGGAGATAAATTAGATTTCTCCGTATTGATCCGAGGTCACAGTGCACCAAAGGTGGACTACATAGAGGCCACACTGGACAGTATTTGAGACCTAGACCAGCCTAAAATGTACCAAACAGGTGCTATTTACATTAAAGAGGGTTGGGACTAGCAAATGTAAAGCCAGTAGCTCCAACAGTCCTGGGCAGTAGAAAGGAACTGAGTGTTGTTGGGGATAGCTGCATTTTTTTAATACTTGGGCCCAGTGGTACAAGGCAGCAGAGGGTATTTGTGCTGACCTGAGGGATACTTGTGAGGGAAAAAATCTCTGACAACTGTGCACAAGGGATGCACATAACTACAGTGGAATGGACCTAGAATTACTCGAAGAAGCAGCTTTTGATACAATGTAGCTAGGACATGTCTGCAATTTTATGTTCATAAGAAGTTCATAATCAAGTAAGTGTTAAAGCCTAGGAAACGAAGAAAAATAAAATGGATTACAAATTAAAATAATAAAAAGAATATATACATTCTCACTTCTTTACCTATATCATCTGTTGCAAGAATAGCTGTTCCACCAGGAGCAAAAGGATCATTGTTCTTCAGTGTTTCTGTCTGAAAACAAGAAAATTCCTTGTTTTATGCCGCTTGAAAAATAATCCCAACATTCCCCTATCCCACCTCTAGAAAGTTGAGCTTCATCTCAACACAAAATATTATGTCTGTTGATCAATGCTATCACTGTCAATTTTTATTTTGTTTCACGGGGTAGCTGAGTTAGTCTTTACTGGAAAAACTTAAAAAACAAGGAATAGTGTAGCAGCACCTTAAAAACTAACAAAACATGTAGATGGTATCATGAGCTATCGTGGGTACAACCTACTTCTTCAAATGATCATCTACATGATTTGTTCATCTTTAAGGTACTGTTAGACTATTCGTTGTTGTTTTTTTAAGTTTTTCCATTTTTTATTTTGTAAGATGAAACGTTAACATTCAGATAGCACCTTTACGCAGACTGCATAAGTGGCTAAGCCTCACTGTACTCTAACAGTAAAATATGTATTATATGATCTTTGTTTTATAGATGAATGAACAGAGGCAAAGAGGTTAAATGACAAACATGATCACATAGCAAGTCTGTGTCAAAGAATGAGAACCTGGATCTCCTGATTCCCACTTCTGCATGTTAAGCTCCTGACTACTGCTTCTTTAAGGATAAAATTTAGGAGTTTGACTGCAAATCTGCTTCTCTAGTCACCAGCCCATTTTGCTTATAAAACCCTGATTAATGACTCTAATGGGCAGGAAGAAAAAAACTTAAAATTGTGTAAGTCATTGTTTTAAATAATTGAAAATTCTCTATCACACATAAAGCTCCATAGTTTCTACAAAATTTAGGGCAGCTTCTGTGGCCCATGCTACACGAGTGACCTTTAGTTAAGCTAGCAGTTTCAATTAACTCAAATTCACACTAAAGGTACTGTTTCAAATTTTCTGCAAAGTTTACTTAATTTTCATGGAAGTTATTTTCCAAAAAATTCAGAACTAAGGAACGAAATCTTTTACATAATTTTACATGCTGCTCCTGATACCCACTATTTTCTAGTTGAAATTTGAGTAGGAGTAGCATTTAGTGAAGTTTAGAGCTAAAAAACCCATTGAACTATTTTCCAGTAGAAATTAATACTTACCAGCAAAATATTCGTGCACTAGCCAAAATACCCATTATTTCATGAGTTTGAGTGTCTCCAAATACACAAGATCATCTCATTTTGAACAGACTCTTTTCCTCCCATCAAACTTACTGTGTGATTATTGCTATTGTCTGCCGTGGTGAAAGGGTCAGTGTCTGCAGTCACAAAAGGATCAGTGGAGGATTGTTTGAAAAAACAGTCAGCTGCAAAAGGATCTGAATCTTTGAATGGATCACCATCAAAGGGATCTGAAAAAAAAATTGACCTGTTCAAGCAACATTTCTTATAAAGATTTCCTGCTAGTTTTTTAGATTGAAGTCTTACAAAAAATGTAATTTTGTACAGCTTTCTTCATATGACAGCCAAGCATAGCTCCTTTGTAATTATGGTTAGTCATCACTTTCTGGTTAAAGGCAGAATCTTCTAATTTGTGCATCCTCTCTCCAACTCCTCAATCTCTGGGTCCTATAATAATACCTACCTCTCCCTGGGGAAAGGAGAAACCCAAGCTATGCTGGACATACTGATGGGAGATGAGGAAATGATGCAGGAAGAGTGAAGGGATCTAAATGCAGCCAATACATTCAGTGGCCAAGATAATCATTGCCAAGGAGCCAGAGAAAGTAGAGGGACATAATTGGCTCGGGGGGTGGAATGCAGAATGCCACAAATTATTATTTTTTAAAAAAAACCAATGGAAGTCAATATTGCCCAGTTGTGCCTCATTGCCTTCCAGAATTTGAGGAGTGGTTAATTTAAGATGCCACAAACCAGGAAATGAAGAGTTAAGATAACAGAAGCAACCAAAGCAGTGACTCCGCACTGGAGGGCAAGGGGTAAAACGGGACCTAACTCATGTCACCTCTCCACCAAGTACCCTCTACAGACCCAGGACTCCGAAGGAGCATCCCCTCATATACACACTATGAGGGAACTTGGACATGGTGATACCTTTCTTATCCCTGCCCCAAATATTTGGCCTTGAGGAAGAATTGCAGCAATGAACCAGGCACTCCAGCTTGTAGGAGCACCTGCAGAGTCAGGGGCCTTTGGATATTCAGAAAGCTTGCTACAATTTTGACCAGACTTTCTCTGCTGAATGCTGTTTGCTTCAAGCCTCGCCTCTATTCTCCCCCTCACAGACTCCTTATGTTAAATTAACTCCATATATGTCCCTTTTATCCACTTTTCCTTTGTGCTGCTCAGTGCCCTTCTATGTCCTCACTCTCTACACTTTTCTTCCATTTGACTTCTCCCTTCCTACTTATGCCAGCCTGAAAACATTAAATAGTGATACTGATATGGATGCTTGCTGCCATCACCTTCATCACTCAGTTTGTGTGTTTTACCCCATCCCCCACTCTTCCTCTGTCTTGCCTACTGACATCATATGCTCTTCAGGATAGAGACTGTATGCTGTTCTATATTTGTGTAGTGTCAAGTACAATGGGGCCTCATTCTTGGTTGGTCCTTAGCCACTACCATAATTTATTATTAATCACATTTCAATTTTGGAAAACCAGAAATTCAAGTACATGCAAATTTAACTCAGCTGTCTTTGTGTGATGCCCCAATATGCCAGCACCACACATACTAATAATTTACTTTAACAGGTAAATGCTGCTGAAAACTTCACAGGCTGGCAGAAAATGAGGGGTGAAGTTTTACAGAACAAGAGCTCTGTGTAAATGTTCAGGAGGATAAGTAACTGACCGAAACTTATTCCAATAGCCTGAAGAGCTTTTTAATGCATTGCTCAGCTAAATTAAAACATTGTTTAATTGAACATATTTTGTCAACATTAGAAAAACAAATCAAAAGATAGAATATTAGGACATTTCAAGTTGAACAATTGCTTCCAACGGCCTTTGAATTCTATAATAGCTTCCTCTAGAAAGCTTACCTGCTAATGAGAAGGCTTAAATTCATGACTATAGTTACTCAAAATTCCAGCATGTTACAAGTTAACCTAGAGTACCCTTCCTCTTTTAGGGTACATCTACACTGCATGGCTATTTTGAAATAAGCTATTCTAGAATTTTATTCCGAAATATCTGATTTTGAAATAGCACGTCTACACTGCATGGAAGCCTCAAAATTAGTCTGAGGCAGGCTTCCCTAATGTAGAAACGCTCTCTTGATTTAGAGTCCCAGGAGGCACTGGGAAGGAATAACTTAGAATGGCTCTGGTGAGGGGCTATTTCAAAATAGCAGCAGTGGAGCGTCTACACATGCCTTATTTTGAAATAGCTATTTCGGAATAGATGTTATTCCTCGTAGAATGAGGTTAAAGATTTCAGAATAAGCCGTCCATTATTTCAAAATTACTTTGAAATAACAGAATGGCTGTGTAGACACTCACATTGTTATTTCAAAATAACACTAGTTATCGCGAAATAACGGTGCAGTGTAAATGCACCCTTAAGTGCTACCTGTTGGCAAACAGACATTTGAAAAGGCAATTCTTACCAAAAAAAAACCCAAAACCTTGAGCTCTAGAATCACACTATTCCAGTTCATCAGAGTTTGAATAGGATCACACAGCATATAGAAAGGTGCTTTAAAACAAACAAAGAGCTTCTATACTTTATGATACATAAGTCAGCCTACTGTATTCTCTTATAAAGTCCACCTACTAAGAATAATCTCCTTTAAGTTAGTTCAGTTCTGGCAATGCAATGACAGTCTGCACAACCATTCTATTTTGATGTTTTGTGATGACAGTAGTCAAGATGAAGTCCCAGTTAGCTACAGGACAGGTACTAAACAAGCACTGACAGCACAGTGTCACTGAAACCCTTATCATTGCACCTCAGTTTCAACTCTGGCTATTTCTCATGGTGAAAGAGTAGCTTGATGTATATTGATATTTAGCCCTTGGCACTGCTACAGACTCATAATCAAAGTCCAATTATTGCCAGTAGTAATGGGACAATTTCACATGGACAACTGAGGTCGATCTACAGAGCCCAAACATTTTTAACACAAAGCACTGTAATCCAGCAAACAACAGCTGTTTCAGGTCCTTACTCCTTGGTGAGAGTCACAAGTCATTTAGATGTGAAAGTTTTCATACAATACATTATGAATCCTGTAAGTCCTTCATACTTGATATATACAAAAGTATTAAATTAAAATTTAAGAGCTTTAGTATCTACTTACCAACTTTCCCAAAAGGGTCATCCTTGAAAGGATCACCTGTTTAAAAAAATGTAAAAAGGGAAAGAAAAAAACTCCCATAAATCTTTTAGCAAAAACATACTTTCAACTAAGGATTGCTTTGTTGCAGACTCCTAGCAAGCTACCGAGGATTTTGCAATCCTTACTTGTGGGAGTATTTCCATTGACTTCAGTAGCTGGCCTTAAAATCAGTATTTGCCAATAAATAATTGTTACGACTATTTCCTAGTTTAAGTATTACCCAAGTGGTGAACTCCAAGGTAACTGCTTGGTAACTGATAGCAAATGCATAGATACCGCAATATTTGCCCACCTATACAGAGATTCTATTATTAGAATAAAAACATCATAGGAGTAACATCTATTAGAAAATCCAGAGTTTTTAATAATAGAACCAATGCAGTCCCACTAATGTGAAAGTTAGTACGCCCTTGAGTTAGATGTACAGGACTAAGCCCAATGTTTCACAAAAATAGAGAAGACAATCTCCTCTTTAATAAAGAAAAGCAGCCTCTAGAGAACAAGTATCAGAATCAACTTCCCTCTCTACGAGGATGCAGGAGAGTTGTGGATGGAAGAACAGTTAACATGCTACTTCAAAAGCAAAAAGATAGGGGGGAGAAAAGGGAAGAGAAAAGGGAAGGAGCAGACTTCTTACAAACTTCTCTCTCATTCAATTTTTGACATGTTAATGGCTACCCTCTTCTGGTGCTTGGTCTAAAACAGAGTTTGGAGGTCCCACCACAACTGCAGTCAATGGAAAACTATTGTTCTACTAATAAAGTCAATTCCAGTCCAAATGCATATCAGTTTAAGACAGATTAATTCAAGCTAAAAAAAAAAAATCTGCTTACTTCCAACAAAGGGGTCAGACTGGAAGAAATCTAAATTGGCTTCTGTAACTTGGATAGGTAGAGGATCAGATTCTGCATCAAATGGATCTTCCTAGAAAAAAAAGTATGAAATATTTTAGTCAGAAAACTAGATGAAGATTTCTTTTGAAGTTAAGAGAAATAAGGATGCTAAAAGTTAAAAGAACTAACTAGAATTCTACTTAATTCAGTGTTGGACAGCTGAAATCAATCAACAGAAATCTTCAGTATACCAGATGAAATGGACAAAAAAAATGTTTTCAATACATTCATACCAAAATTAAAACCAACTGCAAAAATCAAAGTGATGACAGTAAGTGTTTTATGGTCACGGGACAATTCAATGATTTGAAGTGAACTTAATCCATCACAAACAATATAACAATTTCTTACTATTTTCCATTTTTTTAATCTGTACAAACCTACTTTTTTGTTAACACTTGCAGTCAGGGTCTCTTTATCTTCTCCAGTTGCTGCACGTGTTGTTTCGGGACTATTCCTTACCTATTACAACAAACAAAAATCACTGAAGTGCATGTATGATAAAGAGTCTACCCTCTAGACTATTAAAGGATTTCAGTATCAGAGGTGAAATATACTTCAGAAAAGACTATGCCAACTATATAATTGTAAAACTCCTATTAAAGAGAATCATGTCTATAGAATATTGATTTTCCATCTACCAAACTGACAAAACTATACTGTTGCCTGTTCAAATACCCAAGAAGAGAACACACAACGGATGCAAAAAGAACATATTTTGTAATATTATGAAATGCTTAAATAACTCTGAAGATGCAGTGAAAGCTAAGAATCAAAACAAAACAAAAAAAGGCAGTTCAGCAAGCAGAGCAACTTTAGAATTCAGTAATATTCCTCATTCTATCGAAGAATATTGTTCTTCTTTTATGTACAAGAAATATCAACTTGGATGACTAAATTTATGAAAGAATCTTTTTGGTGAAAACTGTGCACTTTCACAAATGGAGCTTACTACATAGCCATTTGTCATCCAAATGGAAATGACCTGCTTTCATGATACATCTTCTAGCAAGATTAAATATAATTCTTTGAGAAAAATGACATTTGTGTGCTCTCTTTTTTAAACAAGTTCAGTTTTACTACATCCTGAACTCTGTCAGTTTCACTATATTAGAACTATGACAGCAATCAAAACATTCTACTCACTGAAGAGTCGTGGTCTCATTAAGGTTAGCAGCTTCACTGCTGCTGTTGCTAAGGCTAGAATGATCAGCAGTTCCATTAACAAGTATGTTGTGTGGGTGAGAGTGCCAGTTCAATTGATTATTTTCCAACTCTTTTAGCTCAAACACTTTTGTTTCCATCTGTAAACAGAAAGCATAAATACATATATTAGTATAGCAACAGGAGTACATACATTTCCGCTTACACGTGGGACAGAGAATGCAGTATTTACCTGAAATTACTGTTTTCTGAAACAAAGGAACAGCACCACCACACTCTTGGGTTTCCATCTCAGATGTAAGGTTCAGAACACAATGAGCACACAAAAACCATTTAGAAAAGGAGAAGCAAGGTGGTTTAAGAACAGAGCTAGATGAATTTCAGTTTTGACAAGAACTTGGTCTGTAGAGTTGGATGTCACAACCTCTGTCACACTGTTTCCACATGTGGAAAGTGACTTTCTACCTCCTAGGGTACTGGGAGGAGCAGTTAACCATCATAATGTACTTTGAAGATATGCAGCAGTACTACCAGCTGAGTCACAGATCCCATTATTCATGAGCACAGCTAAGCTGCATTAATCCTCCAGCAGTCCATCTTACGCATTTATCTGTGCAACAACTCTAAGACTGGGAATCACTATCCCATTTTACAGATGGGAACTGAGGTAGACAGTTTAAGTCACGTGTCTGAGGTCACACAGGAAACCTGTGGAGGAGCAAGAAAATGAACCAGCATCTTCCCAGTCCCAAACTAGTGTCCTAACCATTGTGAAATCCTGCCAAAGCTACCAATGAACTTTTAAGCAAAGGGAGGAGAGACTCGGGACGACTAACAAAATATGAACTCTACAACTTGTTAAAATAAGTAGCAGTCATCTTTGATAGGACAAGAAAAATACAACTAACCACTCAAAAGTTAATATGAAGGGCAGATACTGTCTTAAGTTCCTCTTGGCTAATGGAAAAAAAGGGATAAGCAACTGGAGAAAATAACATTCTCTCTCTGTCTGGGTTCATATGCCTTGGGATGCAACAATGCCAATTACATTTTTTTGGCTGCTCAGCTCCTGTACAGCACCCCAAAGGCCAAAATCAAGGAATGTGGATATACTCTATATTTAAAGGAAAATATACATTTTTATTAATTCACATGAAGTGAGGTTACACACTAGCAATAAAAATTTAAGTGTGCAGTGAAGACATATCAGTGATGGTTGTAAACTACCCAACATTAAATTACAGGGTTAAAAACTATATTTAGATTTCTAACTTTAAAGATAATAAAACAGACTTATCTACGGAACTCAAAATAAATTTAAAAAGTGTTGCATGTATATTAACAAATGTGGCTGCACCTTAACCTAGCAGGGCCCTAACCATAGTGCTCTCTAGCAGGAGAAACAAAACTGCATGAACAGTAGCCCCTAGAAGTGCACCTCTCCCTTTCAGTCAAATGAGAAGTATCCTGCTAGAAATTGATAAGGCATTCAAAGGAAAAAAAGAAACAGTGAAAAACAAGGATGTATATAAGCTATACTGATGTCCAGGAGGAGCACAATGGAACGAAGTCACCTACAGGCAAAAATAAAGTTCAATGTTGGTGCGGGAAGAAACAGGGGAAAAAAGGGGTTTCAAAACCTACAATATAACCAGAGGAGCACTAATTCCCCTCAGTGAATGCAAACGGGAGCAATAATGCTTTTTTAAACAGAACACTGAACAAATATTGTATATATGGGGGAGGGGGGGGACTTGCACACGCGCACACTGGCTAGTGCACGTTTTTCCACCTCTAGATAACTAGCCTCAAACACAAAAGAAAATATATTCAGTGATCTCAATTTAATCCCATTTACACAACCACAGAGTCATAGAAGTGTATGGCTAGAAGGGACCTTAAGTTCAATACCCCACACTCAAGGCAGGGCTAAGTATCCCTGACAGTATTTGTCTAACCTGCTCTGAAAAAATCTCCAATGACAATACCAACACCCCAATACCAACATAAACCTTTCAAGTTTTTACTGAAAATGTGTCAATGACCAGAAGAGGCAAGGCTGTCCTTAGTCAGGGCGGCAGTACAAAGCTTAGCAGAACTGACTTGAGCTAACTATAATATGGGCAGCTGCTGGTTCCTCACTTGCATAAAATTGTCTTAATCAAGTTATTTATTTTTAAAGTAAAAGGTATATCTTAAAGTAAATGAGGTCCCTGTATCATCCAGAACATAAGCTTATTGACTTTGGAGACTAACAATACAAATACCACTTGGCTCATAACATTGTCTTGTGTATTAGTATCACATTCCAGTAATAGTAACCAATTAGCAGGAAATAAATTTACATAAAGCAAAAGAAATGTGAGCAAAACAAGAGGAAAGAAAGAAAAAAAACAAGAAGTGGTATATTCTTAAGATATATTAATATTTGTTGAGACTTGTCCAAAATGGCTTACTGAATTGATTTCCTGTTGTGTATTCTGCAGATGCTGCTGAAGAGATCCCAGCTGTGCTTTCCCCAACTCCACACATTGTTCTAGCTCAGCAGTTTCTTGCTGCAGGCGACTCAGCTCCTCTTGAGCTTTGATCAGTTCCTCCTCATATGTTGAGATCTTGGATTCCTGACTTGTTACTTCAGCCTTCAGTGACACAATCTGCAGAGTGAAGGAACACTTCATTAAAATTATCATGAAAAATCCCAGCTGCAAATATTATATGTTCCCACTGGAAACTTAAAGCCATATCTACAATGAGATTAAAGCTATGCTGTTTTCTCCTACTCAACCTATACTCCTCTCCTAACCACAAGTCCCTCATGAAAAAGGCTCTTTTCTTCCAGTGGAGGGCTGGAGCAAACTCCCATCAATAATGATCTCACTTGAAAAGAGGGACTACCATGAATATGAACTACCAGAACTTACCACGTGGGCCTCTTCAGCACATTTCTGCCTGATCTCATTAAGTTGCTCCTCTAAGGTGGCTTTTTGCTCATCAAGGCCATTAAGGATTTCCTGTGCTTCCTGTTTCTGAGCTTGCAGCTTTTGTAGATTACTGCTCTCCCTCTTCACTTCACATTGAAGATCCTGAAAAGAAACATTTTTGTCAGTTTCTTTTCCTTGGCTACTGACAAAAATAATCTTATCTTTTTCTACTACTGTATTCCTTTTCACTGAGAACATCATCTAGAGCTATAAAAGAATTAAGTCAAAATGCTGTTATCCTTTGAGGATTAGCTTTTAAAAAAATGTGCAAAAGTCAAAACAGAGATTCCAAAAGTATAGCCACACCTGAAATATAATTAAAAACTCTTAAAATTTTTAGAATTAACTATCTTCAGAGCATTATAACGCATAAAATAAGAATCCTCAACATTTTAGTAAGGTAATGTCCATATATGGCAACACACATTAACAGGGTTATCCAAAAAATAGTTGGGATCAGGTTTTAAAACCTAGAATTATCCTCTGCTCAGACCACTAGATTACATCCTTTTGATGTTTTCATTATATTCTAATTTGTTTAGTTTCTTGGTAATAATAGAAATCTTACTAGATCAACACCAAGTGATAATTCTAGTTTACAGAAAGCAAAAGTTAGCATATTTAATATTAATATTCTGTTGAAGGACATCTATGAAGTCTTGCTTTTGGAATACAGTCGGCAATTGGGCAGCTTTGAGAAATGTCCTGCTGTCTTGTCATTGTCTTTATGTGTCTTAACACCCCATTCACATGGTGTCAGGCATTGGGTCACCTTACTGTAGGGCAGGGCTACTCAACACGCGGCCTGCAGTGAGGTTTGAGTTTACGCAAGGCTCAAGTTGAGGTCTACAGGTGGGATCTTTTGAATATGGCCTCCAGTGGGAACACACTTCACAATGGCAAGGTCTCCCCCAGGCAGGGTAAGCAATGAAAGACGCAAGCAGATGGGCTGACTGGAACAGATGGATACAGGGAGTCAGCATATCTAGCCCCCAGGGAGGAGGTGCTGGGAGCACCTGGGCATTGTAGGAAGTGCTTTGTATTCATGCCTGTCAGTGTGAAAGAAGCTTTTTGCATATATATTTGCACGTATATGCAATCACACTTAAGTTGTGGCCCTCAGCAAATGCTGAGAGTATCATAGCGGCTTCAGGACTTCCCAAGTTGAGTAGCCCTGCCGTAGGGTAACCCTAGAGGGAGTGCTTAGCAGCGTTCCCTCTAAGAAAGTGTTTCTTAAACTTTTTAAGACTGAGGAACACCAAAAAAAAAAAAGGTTGGGAGGAAAAGGGTCAGGGGAAAGTTACTGAGTCCTTTAAGGGCAGCCATTTTGAATTCTGTTATTCTCCGTGGCACACCTCCGACTGCCTTGCGGAACACAGTTTAGGAAACACTGCTCTAAGATTTTCCATTTGTGAGCAAGATGAGTATTTTCTTGTGCACTAATATTGATGTCATATGTGTTTGTTTAGATGTGTGCCACTGTGGCACCACACAAGTTACTAACAAAATTATATATACGCGGGGGTGAGGGTGTGCGCATACACGCATGCGCGCGCGCGCACAGAGTGGTTTTTTTGTGACAGTACGCCCCGGGATGGTGTACCGGTACCTATTTTCCCATTTTATTGAATTGAATGGGATTCCTCTGTGGCATCCCAGTACTTATTTCCTTTTTCCTGGGGTGGCTTGGCTCTTGATGGAAGCCCACCCGGGACACGTGGCTCTAAAAGGGGCCATGACTGCATTTTGGCCCCCAGCGCAGCTTTTTTCCCTCCCCCAACAACTTTGACCCTGGTGTACCAGTACTTTTTTTCCTTACACAAAAAAAGAAGTGTGTGTGTGTGTGTGTGTGTGTAAATTAAAAAAAAAACCTGAAGCTATTAAGAAAAAAATACTTTAAAAAGGATAATTAACAAGGTGCATGACCCTGAACACACCCACCTTGAAAACAACCCAGCTTGCTGGCCTGTGCCCCCAATACACACTGTGCGTGCCCCACTACCTGTGCCCCCATCAGGACCACGCACAGCCAGCTGGTACCAGTATAGGCCTGGCTAATTGCCTACCTCCTCACATTCCCTACAGTTGTACCCAGCCTTGCCATCTGCCCCGCATATGCCACCAGTATAGATATTCCAGGGCCATGCTGTCTGCCTCCCAAACACAAACAGCCAGTACCTGGGCTTAGGGCCCATAGCCCAAGGATCACTGGCCAGAGATCTGTGCCCAGCCACACATTTCACCTGTTCTCCCCATCCTGTCCATCACCCAGAGACCTCTGCCTGGCCCTGCATCTCACCTATTCTCCTCCCTCTGCCCCCGCATCCCTCCGAAACCTGTGCTTGACTCCACACCTCACCCTCTCTTCCTGGTTGGAATTTACCTGCATGTGCACAAAAGTGCACAGCTTATTGAGAACCGTGGTACTAAGGCAGGTTTCCTGACTGTCCTGGCACTGGCAGGTCTGGCTCCTAGGTGGGGATGGGAGGGGGCATAGGACTCCATGCGCTGCCCCCACCCTGAGCATTGGCTCCACACTCCCAGTGGCCAATTCCCAGCTAATGGGAGCTGGTGGGGGCATGTGCTGTGCCTGTGGGCCAGAGCAGCATGCAGAGCTATTTGCGTGCCTCTGTCAGGAGCCAGATCTACTGATGGCCACTTCTGGGGCACAGTGTGGTCTTCAGAACCAGGAGAGGTGGAAAGCTGCCTTAGCACCTCCACTGCCCCGCTGACCAGGAGCTGCTGGATGTTAGCCTGTGTCATGAGCATCAATCCCCTGCCCTGAGGCGATCTGAGCCTGGAGCCCCCTCCTGCACCCCAGATCTCTCATTTCTAGCCCTCCATCTCCCCCTGCCCCCTCCCCCCCAAAGCCTGCACTATAGTCAAAAGATATAATTATGTTGGGTCATGAGCATCACCACTTTTCTTCAACTGGGCCACAAGAAAAAAAAAGTCTGAAAACCGCTGCTTTAAAATCATCCTGGACTTCTCAGCTATTTGCAACTTGCACATGAGTTATGTAATGCAGAGCCCAAGCATCTGAAGCCATCTCTCCAAATTTTCATGAGAAAGCTTTTCTTCCTTGTAAAGAGGTGGCATAGAAAAAATGCAAAGATGCTTCTATAGGCAGACCATCTAGGCTTGCATTTCTGGAAGAGCAAAGGGAAAGGTTTGTGGCTCAGTAAAAATATAGTTCTGATAGGAGGAGTGAAATGGTGACATACCATAAAAGCAAAGGTGTCTGAAGCAGAGGAGAAGGGAGCAGACTGATGCAAATACGGGAATGAGGAGGCCAGGGTAAGGCTATAGGAAAATGATTAAACAATTCTCCACAGTTAAGAAAACCTCAACGTAATTGAGATTACACCTTGATCTGCTCAATTAACTGTGTGAACTCTAACTCTGTTCTTCTCTGCCTAATTTACTGTAAATTGTGAACTCATTCTGACAGCAAACTGGTTTAATTAAACTTTGTTTTCATTCAGGTGTCAGGAAATGTAAACTCATTTGCTAATAACTTCCTCTTACTAATTATCTGAACACCTTTGACAGAAGGGTTAGGTTCCTTTCTATAACGGACCCCAAAAGCTCAAATACGCTATTTTCTTTCTGAGCTACTGATAAGTAGTTTTTTAAAAATGATATTTAGATTTATAGCCCCATTTCTAATTTCCACAATACCTTCTTGTGAACCTCATTCTGGAAGCTCAATGTCATGGACCTATTTTTCCTTCAATATACAAGATTATCCATTTTTGTTGTTGGAAATCTTTAACACAAAGTCAACAGTGCATCTGGAAGCCTGACTCAGTTTTTTCCCCCCTAACATTCATAGTCTTCTACCACGTAAGTCAGACCTGGCACTAAGAGGTGTGTGAAGACCACAAGCCCGGGATATCTCCATTTTGAAAGGAACCCATGGAGAATGGGTAGCTGCCCAAAATGCTGATGATAGTATTCGGGCCAAATGCAAGTTGCTTCTCAGCCAGCTAAATTGGCTCCTCTGTAGAGAGGCTGTGGAGTCAGGCCATGAAGAAAGAATGCGATAAAAGAAGCATAGTCTAACACGTCAGTTCTCAAACTTTACTGCACCATGACATCCTTCTGACAACCAAATTACTGCATGATCCTAGGTGGGAGAGGATCCATGCCCTAGCCACCTTGGAGCTTCAGGGGGTAGCCGAGTTAGTCTGTTACAGAAAAAAACAGCAAGCAAATGGTCTGGTAGCACTTTATAGACTAAAAAACATGTAGATGGTATCATGAGCTTTTGTGGGCACAGCCCACTTCTTCAAATGACCAGGGCAGGGTAGAGGGAGCCAAAGACCTACCACACCAGGCTCAAACTCTTGGGCTTCAGCCCTGGCCCCCAACCCTGGCAATCCCATTAAAATGAGGCCTTGACCAACTATGGGGGTCCCATCTCACATTTTGAGAACCGCTGGTCTAGCAGACTAAATTTTGAACTTGGATCAAGAAACCCTTATGTTCTCCTCCCATGTCTGAAACAGACTCTATGGTCTTACACAAATCACAAAGCCTTTTAGCACTGCAACTGTTTCACTTATCTGCCCTTTCCCTTGTCTTAATTCAGGCTCTAATCCTACAAGCATTTACTTGCATTTAATTTAAATCAATTGCCTAGCCACATGTGCATAAAGTAAAGCAAATGCATAAGTGTATACAAGAGCAGGACAGTAGTTTACAAGCTTTATAGCAGGGACTATCTATGTGTTTGTACAGTATCAAGGGCCATGAAGCTCTGATTGAAATTGGAGCTTTAGGATGCTAAAATACCTTCTCTCCTGTAAAACAGAAACAATGCTACCTATGTCCTTACAGTGTATTGTGACAATCAGCTCATTTTAGAGCACTGAGTATTGTCATAGATAGAACAAACTATAGAAAGAATTCTAGAGAGAATGGGGGATAGAAATGAGAATGCAGTAAGCAGAAGGGACAGAACAGTAAAGAAAAAAGGGGAAGAGACAACCACAAAAATCAAAATTTTCAATGTGAAGAAAAAAAAACACATGAAAGGGTGCTGCTTTTTAAAGAAAAGGAAATAAATGGAATGAAAACAGACGATAAGTCAAAATAAAACAGATGGAAGGAAGCTAAAAGAAGATAAAGAAACGGAAATAGAAAAGATAGCTTTTAGTTAGCTACATTCAGTAGATGCAATTTGCTCCTACTGAATTATGCTGACAAACATTCCAAATATTTGTTTGGGTGAAGGGGATAGTTATTCTGTCCATCCATATTAATACTTCTGGCTATGCTATAGTCTACAGATAATCTGTCAAATTCAGAGCAAATCAGAAAAAGAAAGGCATAACAAGAAGCAATGGCTCCAGGTTAAAGATATATAAATTCAAATTTGAAATATGGCATATTAAATGTATGTATTTTATTTAGATAGTGAGGGTCATTAACCACTGGAACAAGCTATCGAGAGAAGTGATAGATCCTCCATATCCTGAGGTCTTCAAATCATGTCTGGAAATCTTTCTGGAAAATATGCTTTAAATCAAATATATGTTCCAGGCTTAATGCAGGAGAAACTGGGTTAAAAATTATACAAGCAGTCAGACTAGATGATTTAATGGACCCTTTTGGCCTTTCAATATAGCTCTTCATATTTTTCAGTTGCTGTACTTCAGTAAAACTTAGTGTTTATACTGATACCTTTAATCTAAAATTCCATTCCCATTATTGTTCTTTAGCATCTTTTTATATACACACCAAAAATTTAATTTCTGCTACAGAACTGTATTTCCCAAGTCTTCTCCACAGCTCATTCAGCTAAAGCACAACCTGGAGATGTTTGAGAGAAACTGTCACCACAAAAATCATTTTGATGATGTAGATACTAGACAGTGATATTACTAAATGAGTCTGGCAGACGACATATTAGAAAGTAAAATGGTATGCATTTCTTTTGGTAGAGAGCAAAACAGGAATCAAAACCACAAAACAGATAGACATGACGATTTAGTGACAATCTGAATTTGTTACCTTGTAGCTACTCTGGCTTGTAAACTCCAAAACCCAGACACAAGTCCAACATAACTGAAATTCATATCATAATCACAACATATCATATCACCTTTGTCTGCCTTTCATCAGAAGAAAACAATGAATAAGCCACTATGCAGGCCCACTTGATATTCACATTGACAAAACTTCCAAACAGTTGCTTCCAATGAGACTGCTTTAGACAATATTAATTTACTACATTTGTCTTGCATTCCCTCTTGATCTCAAAAACTAGATACACAATACACTTGAGTAGCATGATTTTTTGTTTTCTTAACAGGAATTAACAGACTAAAAAGTTTGAATTTAGCACTATTTGCCTTCTTTTCAATCATAACCAGGAATTCACTCTTCAGTGAATAAACACATATAAACCACAAGATCCCAACACAAATCATACAAAATTATCCCTGTGTATGAGACATGAATATTCATGATAGTTTTTTTCATGGAAGAAAGGTTTTACTAGATCATTAAAATTAGATTCCATTCACATGAGTGACCAGATTTAATTAATATATCTGGTATAGCAGACTTCTATTTGACATCTTGTTGCATATTCATTTGGCTGTCATTGTTACTGATATGTCAGGATTTCATTATCTTCTGAAAGGTCATGCAATTAATTATCATCCAGTCACAAGTAGTATAACATAAAATAGGTAAGCAAAAATTCATAACACGGTTATGAGGAAGACATTGCCACATTTTACCTCAGGTCAGAAAATGTAAGAAAACTGCCATTATGTATTCTCTATCAAATGTAAACTTAATTTTTTAATGTCAATTGGTAATCCAAAAAGTATTGAAATAATTAGTAGTCATGTTGCAGTAAAATTTTGATTTTTAAATGCAGCAGCTCAAGCTGCTATTGTAATTTACCACATAACTGAAAAATAGCTTTGCAGCATTTAATACAGGGCTTGGCTGACTAAAAGCACCATAAACCCTGGCATTTAACTGCCTAGATTAGGTCTTCAATCACAGAAAACAGAAATAACATTTGAATTTGCTGATTCTATGAAAACACTGTCATAGTCCTCTTAAAGTAAAGCCATTTAAAAAAAGGATATTTAGATTTAAAAAGAAATATTCCATAAGAGTAACAAATAATCCTCCCAACTAGGGATTTACTGTGATTTAATTTGACCAGTTTATTAGTCTTAATCTGCATGACACTGAAATATTTTCACTGGTGGTTTAAAGACTCAGTCATATTGCTGTAAGAATGAATGAATACATGCACCAAAATCAGAAGTGAAAAATGAGAAATGATATAGCCCATTTACCTGGATCTCACTTGTCCTCAGTTTGATAGTATCTTCTTTCTCCTTGAGTTCCTGTTCCACATTATTCTTTTCCCTAGAAGACCAACAAAATATGCAGGAATACTTAAGAACATCAGTTACAGCAGGCACAGTTATCCAACCCCCTAATCCTGTTTCTCTTTTTAAATACATAGTGAAACATTAAATAATAAAAAAAATAGGGGGATCTCTGTTCCTTATTTATAAAGCAGATTATTTTACATTTGCCCAGCATTAAAAAAAAAGCTTTTGCATTAAATTGTAGTTAGGCGAAAAGAACAGCTCAAAAAGGGAAAGGGAAGGAGGGGGAATCAATGAAATACTGTCTTCAGTGATCTCACTGTTGCCATGGAACAATTGTCTAACGAAGACTGCTGGGAAAAGTGGGAGGGATTGCATCAGCTTCCACACATTTAACCCTTGGAAAAACAGGTAAAACAACAAGCACACAGTACACAGCACCAAGATATCAACTAAAAAGTTAAGCTGTAGTCACAAGGTTTTTTGCACCATTTACAGAGAAGTTTAGAGGCAAAAAGGCTAATTTGTTTTTAACCAGATGAACTCATAGATCCCATATACAGATATACGCTATGTCACATCAAATCTACTTTCGTAGAAATATATTCAAGTTTAAGTAACAGTAATGATCACTGATAAATTCCTAGCTATCACTGACAATAACAGAAAAAGCCCCAAGTCAGACAAAAGCTTTTTTTTTAAAAAAAAAAAACATGTAAACAAGTGTTTATATCAAGAAATGCAACTCTCCCTTTGTTTGTGGGTGAACAAGACGGGTGAGCAAAAGCTTCTGAGCGGGCCTTGGGCTTTGATGCGGCCCGCGAGGCAATTACAGGCCCTGCCTCCAATGGGTGTGCACGGGGGACGGGGGAGAGATGTAGCTCAGCCCTGCCCCTCTACCCCCTGGTAGTCGCTGAAGAGGAGGCAGCGCCGGAACCAGTCCTGGCATGCCTAGCCACAACAGTGGTGCCTCCAAGGCCGGCCCCAGGCTGCCTGGCTGTGGCCATGTCATCTCCGGGGGTGGCCTGTGGCCACAGCACCTCTGGGGCCCGCCCCAAGCTGTGTAGTTGCATCAGTGGTGCCTCTGGGGCAGCCTTTCCTTGGCCACATCACTTCCAGGGCAGTCTGGCCGCTGGCCCTGGAGGTAGGCCTCAGCTGCAGCAACTGTAGTGCCTTGGGGCCGGCCCTGGACCGCGTGGCCATGGCAGCGGCACCTCAAGCCTCCAGGATGGCCTGTGGCTGCAGTGCAGTGGGGCTGGCTCTGGATCACATGGCTATGGCAGCAGGGTCTCCAGCTCCACGTGGACGTGACAGTGGGGCCTCCCTCTGGGGCAGTCGCGAAAGCGTAGCTGCAGCTATTGCTTCAAGAGAGCATGAAGCCAGGTAAGGTTCCCCCTCATGCCCAGACTCTCCCCACCCCAATCCCATCACTTCCCTTCCCCCCAGGACCCAGCACCCCAGCCTGCTCCCACACCCTCCCTTGTTCTTGCACCCGCTCTTCTGGCCATACATGGTACCCTCCCTTGTTCCTGCTCCCTCCACCTGGCCAGACACCCTACGTCCAGCCTACTTCAGCTCCCTCTGAGATCCTGCACCCCATCCCTATCCTACTTGCTGGCAGGCCTGTCTTGCACATTGTACCCCCCATTTTTATCCCTATCCCAGAGCCTAAGGAGGTCCATAAAATTCACTAACTCCAGAACCCCAGAAAAGTAAATCTTGTCTATGGGAAGCCCTGAACCTCAGTTTCCCCCTTTCCTTCTCTTCCCTTCCCTTCCCCCCACAAGGCTGGAACACAAGAGGAGTGAGCTATCTCAGTTGGAGCCACATCAGTGTGAGTTGGGGGGTTTTGGAGGAGATTTTGCTTCTCATTTGTGTGGTTCCCAACTGACTTTTTTGTGGGTCAGTGACCTCAACCTTACCCTTCCATAAATAAAGAAAACATTGAAACCTTTTGTGTCAGACATAATATTTTACCCCGCCCCTTCTGCCCGAGGCCCACAGACACTTCCGAAATTTGTGAAGTGGCCCCCCCTTCCAAAATTATTGCCCACCCCTGCTTTACAATAACATCCAAAGCTTAACAAACCATTTTTTGTTAAAAGTTGTGTACAAGTTACTTCCTTGATAGGTCAATTTACTTTCCCCTCCATGGATTTTTTTTTTTTTAACACAGATAATTCTAGAACAAGTACACAAACCAAACACAGAAGAGCAGAAGAAAAACAGAAGCTTATCAAGGAAATCTTAGATTTATCATGCACATTTAATAATCAATTAACAGCTGCCAAATGTTACATCAGATTTTAAAAGTAATGTCTTAGTGATCACAGTAATTTAATAACATTTTCCAGTTGGTTTTTTTTGGTTGGATAAGGGTGAATGATGAAATATTCTTGCCCTCAGGCTGCACTACCTAACATTTTTGCTTTAAACTGAATGAGCAGTACTTTAGTTTTCTGTTAGGTTACATATTAAGAGGAACACTGATTATCAAAGAGTAAAAAAATTAACAGCTTTTTAACAAGCATGTTATATTTCGGTATTATTCTTTCTGATAATACCCTTTAATGAAAGTGACGTTTACTATTTTTGTGTCTGAATGGAAGCCTAACTGGGCCAAACTGCATTTTAATAAAGCTATTGTCTATTATTCTTTTTTGTGTAAGCCTTTGAGTTTGCAGAATTTCTTATTAACTGTTCATTAATAATGGAGATTGCCTATCTCCTAGAACTGGAAGGGACCTTGAATGGTCATTGAGTCCAGTCCCCTGCCTTCACAGCAGGACCAAGTATTATCCCTGATGAATTTTTGTCCCAAATCCCTAAATGGCCTCCACAAGGATTGAACTCACAATCCTGGGTTTTGCAGGCCAATGCTCAAACCACTGAGCTATCCCTCCCCCTCAACAGTGATGTTGAGTTTTTAAACAATCTGTTATCATGTATAATAAAAATTATGCACATTTCCCTCTTAATTCAGTGAATCAGTTATTGTTATGTAATAGCAATTCCAGGGACTCACTATGTTCCACAAAATGTAAGTGGGGGAAAAAATCACTAAGGATGCACAGTGGAAACATGTCAAAAATTGTACCAATTCAGGTTTCCTTTTCTTCCTTAATTTTGCAGAGAGTAAAGCTCTCGATCCCAATAAAGCATGTTCCAGAGATACTAAGAATGAAGCCAGGTTGAAAAATACTCCTAAACCCACTGAGTCATATCAAGCACAGTAAATATTCGTGCATTTCATTATTCTTGGCAATAAAGATAATATTTGAACACTACTAGGAATTACATGTAAAATGCATGTTTTCACAGAGGGTCCTTTCTGTGCTGCTGTTAATGCTAAATCCAAGGGACTAAGTGCATATAGCATTAGGTTTCAATTGCAGACCATGAATCACTGATAGTGTTCAAAGAGAGAAAAAAACTGAAATATTGAATCAGATGTCAAAAGAAGGAGGATCTTTGCCGAGGGGATGGTGGAAAAACTAGGATGGTAGTGGGAAAGAAAGCCAGGAAGAGGGGCAGGAAAAACTAGGGATAACCCCCAAGTCACACTGCAGAAAACAGATCCAGACATCTCATCTTGTTACTTCCAGGGGCCGCGACAGTATATGTGGTATGTTCATCTCTGCCAGAGACTGGAGTGAGTAGTCAAAACAGGGGCCCCAGTCCTGATCGTTAGTGGGGGAAGTTTCTGCTGTTCTTGGAGAACGGCTCCACCTCTTATAGGCCCTGCCCTGCTTCTCTCACACATGTGGATGGGGGAGGCTTTTAGGAGAGCTGCCTCTCCCCACGTTAAGTGGCAGCACTGGCTGGGCCTGTCACTACTCCCATGCTCCTCTTTTAGATAAACATCTACCTATAAAATCCCAAAGCTAAAGAATTCTTCAAAAAACAAGGATAGGTTGCCTCCAATCCATCACTGGTGGTGATCGCACTACGCTTTATTTTTGTTAAAAATTCCACAGCCACGCTCCCTTTGCTGAATCCTCCCTTCTCCACCCGATTAGTCTGAATACTACCAACAAAATAAGTACTTATGTTTTATTACACAAATTCTCCAACCTGAGGGTATTCACAAACATTGTCTAATGATTCTGTCTACCCTCTTTACTTCTACAACCTTTTCTTAGAATCTTGATAGGAATTTATCATCATTACAACTGTTCTACATACATATGAGTCTCCAAAGATTTCCCTCTGCTTTTCTTCTATGGTATTTATAATAAAACCTGTCCATTTAGAATTTAACACAAATTCAGAGTCTGTCTACAGATTAAGTGTACAAGCTCCAGGTGATCATCTTTATAAAGGTGCATACATATCTTGCTATCTAATAAAAAGGTAATTACCATGCAGCAAGCAAGACAATATGCCTATGCTCAAGCCTCTACTACCCACTTGTTTCCCCTCCACACACCAGCACAAGTTAAAATCTTATATTGCACAAATTAAACTAACACCTTTTAGACTCAACAGAAAACGATGTCAATATGACATCAACACTTCTGCAAAGAATGACCATAGTGACTCTAATAGAAAAAACAGCACATTGCCAATAGTTTACTGAATTACTATTAGGGTTTAAAATACCAAATTATTTTAAAATATACTAAATAAGCCATTTTTGAGTAACTAAGATATGAGACAGTTGTAATTCTCCTTTACCTACCTCTGCAGATCAACTATCTCATTGTTTAAAGTATCAAGCTCTTTAATTGCAGAAAAATCTGCCACTGGAGTCAATCCTACAGCGCTCTGCAAAACAGAAAATAAATGCCTTAATTTATAAAATACAAACTAAACTTAGTATTGAGGTCTATGGTAACAAATGAAACGTACAGTTGTTAATTTTAAGCCTACTCTTCTAAAACTGCTCCTCTCCATCAACACTACAGTGAAACTAAAGTGAAAACCCTCAGAACTTTTACCTTGCAATAACAAAGTTTGACTGAAATAAAGATTTAGAGGGTGTAGAAGTTATATTGATTATACATTTTGTAGAACTATTTTATTTCATGTCCCATATGTTTAATATCACCACTATACTGGCAATACAAAATACCTGGAGAAAATGCTTCTCAATCTTAAGTAATAATGACAGGCTCAGTAAAAAGCTGGGTCCATTTCTCTTTGGGCAAGAAGAGGAGATGGTGATGTCAATAGGACCCATCAGTCTAACCTAAAACAAAATACAGGACTATGTAGCACTTTAAAGACTAACAAGATGGTTTATTAGATGATGAGCTTTCGTGGGCCAGACCCACTTCCTCAGATCAAATAATAGAAGAAATAGTCCTGTATTTTGTTTCAGCTACACCAGACTAACACAGCTACATCTCTATCACCAGTCTAACCTAAGGCACTGTCATGATAATTAAGTCAAAGATCTGACTGATGTCTCTGAATTAGAAATCAACACAATCCAAGCCAATACAAAAAAAATCAACAATTGTTTGTAAAGAATAAAGGCTTAAAGATCAAAAGCTTTAAATAAAATACTATAAAACACTATCTTATTCACAAAATATTACTGTCAAACTATATTATCTGCCATAATTCAAAGTTGTGTTTCTCCTGCAAAGGTTTGTCATTCCATAAATTCATCCAAACTCCGAATCCTGATCTTAAGCCTTGACATAGAAAAGCCTTCACATATATTTTACTTTTAAAAAGTTTTTTGATAATTAACACTTGGCTAGTTTTCTATTAAATTAATTACAAAACTAAAACCATTAAGACAATGTTTCCTACGTACCTGTAAAGTTTACAGAAGATTGTTGCTTGTGGGATTATTGAAATTTGAAAATAAAAAAAATGTACATGAACTAAAAAAGTGTGAACTTAAAATAAATTGATTAAACTGTATTAAGCCCTCATGTGGAAGTATTTAATTAGAATTAAAATGTTTCTAATTAGGTTCATCTTAACTCATTTTCAAAGTAAATTAAAATGAGTGGATCAAGGCCATTTCAATTCTGATTCCGTATGTCCACAGTGTCTTGATGTAGCTTAATTAAGCCACTTTAAATTCACACTTTTAGATCATTCACATTTTTCTGAGTATCCCAAGACAGACAAGACCGAAGGTATGATGCTCTAAGTTGGACAGCAAGCCCACCTTCACCCTGAAGTGGAGGCTTGTGTCCTCAGTAGTTGGTTCCTTTCTATGATAACTGAGACTTGGCACATGTAATCTCAGTGACAGTCAGCATTAGCCTGACTCACCCTCTGACATCATGGATTGGTAGCTGGACAAAATTTGGGTGAGTGTTGTTGCCCCTCAGCCTCTCTCTTTGCACTAGGGCAGCCAGAAACAGGCTATATTTCTTTGGGCCACGACCCAATGATAGGTTAATTTGGCCCTATATGTGCAGATGCACATAGATTCTAAAACCTCCCTGCAATCCATCATCTGGGAAGCACTGGAATAGCAACACTAAAGATGGTAGCCATTCTTTAGAAAACATTGTTTTTATTCTAGGGCATCCTATCTGCATATGGCGGTTTCCTATACATCTCACTGGCTTCCTTAAACAGGACTTTAACGGGATCTTTCCTTTCTCAGCCCAAGAACAATATTTTCTGCCCAAGAACAGATACAAAGCTATTAAATGTAACCACATAAATGTCATAAAATTGGAGCTGTGCATTACCGTATATTCCGGCGTACAAGACGACCTCTGATGTTAAAAAACATCCCCCAAAAATCGGGGGTCGTCTTGTACGCCGGATGCCCCGCCGCCGGAGCCCCTCCGCGGCTTTGAAAGCCTCGGGGGAAGCCGGCGGCGGGGCATCCCAGGCGCGCATGGGCTGCCCCCCCGCCGGAGCCCCTCCGCGGCTTTGAAAGCCTCGGGGGAAGCCGGCGGCGGGGCATCCCAGGCGCGCATGGGCTGCCCCCCCGCCGGAGCCCCTCCGCGGCTTTGAAAGCCTCGGGGGAAGCCGGCGGCGGGGCATCCCAGGCGCGCATGGGCTGCCCCCCCGCCGGAGCCCCTCCGCGGCTTTGAAAGCCTCGGGGGAAGCCGGCGGCGGGGCATCCCAGGCGCGCATGGGCTGCCCCCCCGCCGGAGCCCCTCCGCGGCTTTGAAAGCCTCGGGGGAAGCCGGCGGCGGGGCATCCCAGGCGCGCATGGGCTGCCCCCCCGCCGGAGCCCCTCCGCGGCTTTGAAAGCCTCGGGGGAAGCCGGCGGCGGGGCATCCCAGGCGCGCATGGGCTGCCCCCCCGCCGGAGCCCCTCCGCGGCTTTGAAAGCCTCGGGGGAAGCCGGCGGCGGGGCATCCCAGGCGCGCATGGGCTGCCCCCCCGCCGGAGCCCCTCCGCGCCGCCGCGGAGGGGCTCCGGCGGGGGGTAGCCCATGCGCGCCTGGGATGCCCCCCCGCCGGCTTCCCCCGAGGCTTTCAAAGCCGCGGAGGGGCTCCGGCAGGAGGGGGGGGGGCCGCCCAGGCGCTCCTGGCGGCTTTGCTCCCGGTGCCTCTGGTCTGCTGGGGACCATCTCCAGCAGACCAGGGACACCGGGAGCAAAGGAGGCGGAGGGGGGCTGGGGGATAAGATGAAACCCTATCTTTTAATTAAAAAGATAGGGGGTCGTCTTATACACCCAGTCGCCCTATACGCCGGAAAATACGGTAGCTAAATATATTTTGTACAAAGGAAAGAAAACTGCACGAAATTGTGAATGGTAACATATGGCAATTAGAACACATTCCCTTGCATGTATGATTTTTTTTTTTTTACAAAAATTGATAAAATAAGAGTTTGTATTCAATTTCAGTTCTATTCGGAAAAGGGACTCAACACAGCATTATGGAGTTCCTTGTGATCCAGTGACTCCAGATCAAATATGTTACATTTACAAAAAGTGTTTTTTTTTTCTAACTGCACAAACTCTGGTCTGGTAATGCCACCCTCTCCATCTCCATGTTCTCAGGCACCCCTCAGTTAAGAGAGATTCCCATTTCATGCTTTACTTTATTGCTTTGATTTAAAACATTCATGCAATGAAGCAGAACATATACAAATACATGCATAAGTTGTAAAAATGATATAAACAAAATTCAATGTTCACCATTTGTCAAGCCCGGAAAAAAACAAACCAATCAAGCAACAAAACCTGAACCTTTAAGGGTCATGCAGGGCACAGTTTCTCCAGGCTAAATTATACCCTGACTTAAACCAATAACAGAGGTGTAACCCAGCTTGACTTTCAATTCCCAAATGGAGCTGTATGGCATGGCACCTAAAAAAGCAAACCTCATTTTACTTCTAAATTGCACATATTTGGTGTGGGAGCAATCAAAAGACAAAATCAGAACTCTTCAATGCTGTTGTTACACCCTAATGCACACACTTTTGTAATGTTTAGAAACTTGGAGACTACAGAATAGAGGACCAAGTAGTAGGTAAAGTCAGGCAGGATACAATGGTGGTGGTGTCCAGGTATGGCCACACAAACATGGCAATACACTTCAACTTTACATGAACGTAAGAACAGCTATATTGCGTCAGTCTAAAGGTCCATTTAGCCCAGTATCATGTCTTCTGATAATGGCCAATGCCAGGGGCCCCAGAGAGAAAGAAAAGAGCAGATAATCATCAAGTGAGTCATCCGATGTCCCCTGTTCCCAGATTCTAGCAGGCCATTAATGGATGTATCCACCATTAATTAATATAGTTCTCTTTTGAACCTTGTTATATTCTTGTCCTTCCCAGCATTCTCTAGCAAAGAGTTCCACAAATTGAATGTACACTTTATGAAGAAATACTTCCTCCTGTTTGTTTTAAACCTGCTTATTAATTTCATTTGGTGGCTCCTAGTTCTTGTGTTGAGAGGGAGTAAATAAACCTTTCTTATTTAATTTTTCTATATCAGCCATTATTATATAGACCTCCATCATATCCCCCCCTTAGTTGTGTTATTAATCTCTCTTCACATGGAAGCCTTTCATACCTCAATTTTTGTTATCCCTTTCTGAATCTCTTCCAATTCTAGCACATCTTTTTTGTGGTGGGGTAACCACATCTACATGCAATATTCAAGATGTGGTGGCACCATGGATTTATATAAAGTCAATATGATATTTTCTGTCTTATTATATATCCCCTCCTTAATGATTGCCAACATTCTATTTGCTCTTTTGACTGTTGATGCATGTTGAATGCATGTTATGAGAAGACTCTCTACAATGTCTTCAAGATCTCACTCGAGCGGAAACAGCTACAGGCTGAAACTCTCCTAAGTGGGATTCTCTGGTCCGGCAACATGCAAAGTCTGGCACGAATGTTGCAGGACCAGAGAGCCCTGATGGAGGACCAGCAGCAATGATTCCTTCAGGGCCAGCAAGGCAACTGGCTGCCTGCAGTGAGCAGATGGTGGGGCCGTCTAGCATGTGGCATTGAGTCTGGTTGGTGGGCACGGCTGCCCAACAGGGTCGGCAATGCAGCAGGACCAGCACGGGGTGTAGAGCCAAGCTGGAGGCCAGCAGGCGGGGGCAATAGCAGGGGTCAATACCTCCCCAGTCCAGCAAAATCCCTTATCCAGGACCAGTGAGATCCCAACAATGCTGGAGCAGGGAGGTCCAACCTGTAAAATTTAGACCCACATCCTTTTACATGTATAATTGGAATTATGTTTTCCAGTGTACATTATTTTGCATTTATCAACCTTGAATTTCATCTGCCTTTTTGTTGCCCAGTCACCCAGTTTTGTGAGATCCCTTTGTAGTTCTTTGCAATCTGCTTTAGACTTAACTTTCTTAAGTAGCCTCGTATCATCTGCAAATTTTGCCACCTCGCTGCTTACCCCTTTTTCCAGCTCATTCATGAGTATGTTGAATAGGACTGTTGGGGGACACCACTCCATTCTGAAAAATGACACTTTGTTTCCTATCTTTTAATCACTTTCCAACCCATGAGAAGACCAGCCCTCATCTCCCATGACTGCTTATGCTGTTTAAGATCCTTTGGTGAGGAACCTTGTAAAAGGCTTTCTGAAAATCTAAGTGAATTATATCCAATGGATCCCTCTTGTTCACATGCTCGTTGACCCCCTCTAAGAATTCTATTAGATTGGTGAGGCATTATTTACAAAAACCATGTTGACTGTTCCTCAATAAATTATATTCGTGTGTTTGAATTTTATTCTTTACTATAGTTTAATCTAGTTTGCTTAGTACGGACATAAGGCTTACTGTCATGTAATTGCTGGTGTGATGAACAGGAGGGGTATTACCCTTTTCTGGATATTCCTACTATTCAGTTAAACAAGTTGCCTGTAAAGGTTAAAACCATAGACAGTGTATCCTAGAGAGTCTCCAGCAATGGTAAGGAAGCAGGAAGTGTTTGCAGGAAGCCAGGAAAGCCAATGAAAAGTGTGTCCGTTTTTTAATTGGAAGCAGTGGTCTTCCTGTGACAGTCTTTGTGTGACCAGAGCAGAGCTGGACAGACATGAGTTAAGCCAGAAAAACAGGCATGGAATATTCAGACACATCCATGCCTAGGAAAGTCCTGATCTTAAAACTACAAATTTCTGAGTAGAACAGGGAATGTATAGTCAGACGCTACCAGGTTATTTTCTTTATTTTGGGGTTTGTTCAACTTCTCTGGGCTGAGCCCCTGTATTATTCCCCCATTCACACACTGTAACTTTTAAACTGAATCCCAGAGAAGCAATTCTGTGCCTTTAATTTTTCTCATACAGTTGCTCAGTAACATCTAAACAACCAAATAATGTTTTGCCAAGCATGTTTTCTTTGTTTTAATAAAAATCACCTTGAGTCAGTTTATTCAAGAACTCATCCTAAAGAGGGTCACCAAATTCAGTATGCAGCTTCCTTTTATCATAACTTAAAGCACAGTCAGAGTTTGAGTGTACTAAGACAATGGGATGTGCATGGAATTTGATTGTTTCTTATAAAATGGAAAAGGAGGGATCTGATAGGAGGGACAGTTCTACTGCAGAATAATCAGGGAGGGGGAGGGGGAAAAAGGGGGAAGCTAGGGGGCAAACATGGGAACCGTGACAGCTATGTACTACATATTTGAGTTTGTCTTTTTGTGTGTCTGTCTGGCCCAGCTGTGCCCAGTGCAGCAGCCATTGATAGGCATTTTTCACCTGACCCCCAGTAAATATAAAATCACTGCTGATTAAATTTAAAGATGAGAGAGTGGTGAAGTGACAAACAGTGAGACGGACAGGGCAGTCAGACATAGCAATCTGGATCACACAGTAAATGGTACACATTCAAAACATGCTTTAGTGCAACCAGATACAAAAATATACCTCTAGGAACAATGAATGCAGGCCATGCCTACAGCATGGGTGACTGTATAATGGAAAGCAGGGACTGAAAATAATTTGGTGGCATACTGGACAAGCAATACATACAACATGAGCTCTCAAAATCCTGTGGCAAAAATAATTAATGAGTTCCTGGGATATTATAAATAGGAAAAGTAGTGAGGATTTTAATTGTGCATACAGCACTGGTGAAACCAATACCAGAATACTTCATTTAGTTCTGGTGCCCCACATCTTAAAAAGAATGTTAAAAAATTGGAGCGATTACAGAAAATTAACCTATTACATCACCCACTCTCTTCCTCCAAGAAATCAATTATATTCATTCTTGCTGACAGGCATGTTAGTAAAGGTAGAAATCTATCAAGAAAATGATTACTTGTCAACCCATATCTTTCTTCCACCTCAACAGAGAGTCATGCTATATGATTACATCTGTTGATATTTTTTGCTCCTGGAATGTCATTACATTGGCAGAAGGCATCAAAAGACTAAAAGTGCAGTTCTCATTCTGCACAAGCCACAGTATGACACACCACTTCAGTAGTTGTCAGAAGCCTTCCACACCCTCACCTTAATTTGTAGTTGTCCCATATAAATCCCAAGTGGAGACAAACAGTTGTCTACATGAGATCTTTTGAGAAGAGCTGAATGTTCAGTCAGATAACAGCTTAATAAATTCATGAATTCCTTTATAATCTTCAAAAGGATGGGAGAGATTTACAAAAGCAGCTGAAACTCATTTCCTTCCCTATTTCACTTTGTGCGTTGGAAGTGAAAATTCACTGAAAATCTCAGTTCATCTCAGTATTTTAAGAAGGTATCACATGATATATTTATAAAAAGTAGCAAGCAACACTGATCTCAACTAGTGTGTACCAAGTCTGCACATGAAATGTTCCTCAAAATATTCCGTAACAGCATGGATATTAGCACCAGTGATAATGCCAGTCAACTGTTTGGGGGTGTTTAGCCTATATTTAAAAATAAGTAGTCCCGTGGCATCTTAGAGACAAACAAAAATATATAGTAGCATGAACTTTCATAGGTAAGATGGAGTTGGAGTGGAAAGAACAGAAACTAAGATATATATAACAGCAAAAGAAGTACCTATTAATTGTAGGACCCATGTTAATGAAGCTAATTAAGTGGGCTGGATGTATCCCAATTCATAGTTTTTTATATGAAGATGCAGATGTCAAAGACAGGAGAAATTGGTTTGTAGTGGGTTAACCAGTTAATGTCCTTCTTCAAGCCAAGGGTAACTGTCAGATTTGTAGATAAATTCCAGTTCTGCAGTCTCTCTTTGTAATTGGGTGGTGAAATTCCTTTGTAGAAGAATGGCTACTTTTAAATCCATGATTGAGTGATCAGGTAGGTTAAAATGTTCCTTTACGGCTTTGTATGTGCTACCATTTTTATGTCTGATTTGTGTCCTTTTGTCCTTTATTGTAGAGACTGTCCGTTTTGGCCAATATACACGGCAGAGGGGCATTGCTGGTAGTTGATGGCATATATCACATTAGAGGATATACGGTTGCACGAGCACCTGATGTTGTAGCTTATGTGGATTGGTCCTGTGATGGTGTCGCTTGTATAGATACATGACCCTAGTTAGCAACCAGGTTTGTTGCAAGAGCAGGATCCTGAGTAAGTGTGGGTCAACACCATTACAGGACCTAACCAAAGAGAGACTGCATAACTGGAATTCATCAACAAATTTGACACTGTTACCCTGGGTTTTAAATAAAGACATTACCTGGTTATTGTACTGCAAAGCTAATTTCCCCTTGCCTTTGTCATCCACATCTTCACATTAACATGGGTCCTAAAATTAACAAGCACTTCTTTTGCTGTTTTATATATCTATCTTGGATTCTGTTATTTCCACTACAACGTGTCCGATGAAGTGGGTTTTACCCACAAAAGTTCATGACACTATATATTTTTGTTAGTCTCTAAAGTGTCACAGAATTACTCATTTTTAAAATTGCAGACTAACACGGCTTCCCTCTGAGGCTTTTTTATACTATATTAATTTTGATTGGATGAAGTATGTTACATTATTTTTATGTGCTGCTGAAGTTTAGAATACAAACACAAAAGCTACTAACATTTACCCTCCATAGATGGCTGCACTTCTCTGATAACTCTGATAATCAAAGATGCTAACAAATAGTTTTTAAATGTTGGTACAAATTTATAAAGCAATTTAGGACCCGACAGATGAAAAGCCAGTCTATTGAAAAAGGCTAAATTTTCAATATCAGCATAACGAGTATCTACCTAAAATGTTATGCTATTTCAAAAACTGCGCAACAGACATTTAGATATGTTCATTTTCAAGCCAACAGATATTATATATTAGGAAAAGCAAAGAACCTCTAACCTTGAGAAAGCAGAGTTAAGAAACTGACAGAATAATAAAGATGTAAAGCAGAGTGGTGCTGAATGGAAAAAATAGTCCAAACTGGAAAAGACAGAAAAGAAAGCAAAAACACAAAAAAGATTAGTAAACGAGCAAATAAAGCAAGTTGCTGTTGTTTTAACGGAATGTAAAAAAAAATTAGGTATCATTTGCAAAAACCTCAGAAATCATGCAAAACTTCAAATTTATCATTTTTCAGGTGAGAATTTCTCATTCTGTTTATTATGAAAATAATACAGCCATGTCCATGTTTAGCAAAACTAAGAGAAAATGTTAGTAACAACAGCTATTGCAATGCATCATACACAGGTAAGATTGTTTTGTAAGCTGTTAACTGCCCTAATGAACACAACTTTAAGCAATTAAAAGGCACTGAGTCAATACAGCAATGGATTGTTTAAAGGCCAAAGGATATTTGAAACGTTATTATTTATACAAGTGGATAGTTTTAAAACATGTTTTTAAAAATAATTAACCACAGAGCTGCACGCAGGTTTAATTTATTTTAGTAGAGACTGACTTCTTGAAAGAGGAAAATATGAAAATACCACTTTTATAAAAGGCTTCAATATTAAGGAAAAGGATAATTCGTTCATGTAATATTTCAGATCCATAATGAAGTTCATCCTTGGATACTCAGGTATACATTTATTTCGGACAAGCTGATTTCATGATTCCTCAACAGCAATGTTTATTTGCTTGATTGACTAATGTAGTAAATACATCTACTAAGAAAGCATTCACGTAGTCATATTTATAGATGTAAACTGACAGAAACACTACATGTATTCATGGCAATTAATCTTGTTTTTTCTTTATAGTACAACCATGAATTAAGTATAGATTTTAAAAATTGGTTTTAATTTGTTAATAGCTCGAACTCAAGAGTTTGTTTAGTATGTTTGAGGTTTGTACTTAAAATCCTTACCTTTTGTAAGCTGGCCCTGTCTGATGGAGGGATCATTTCTGCAGTCAGAACCTGAGGAGGATCAATGCCCTTTGTTAATTTCTGATTGATTAAATGGAAAGCCAAGGCAAATTGTTCTTTTGAAAGCTTTCCACAGTCCTTTGTGTCACAAAGGGCCCTGTACACAAAACAAAGACAGAGAATAGATGATTAAGTGCAACACTCCATTTCTACTAGTACAATATTATTCAGGGATGCATCCGCAAATAGTAGAAAATTGTTTTACATCTTCTAATCACCTTACAAACAGCAATGAATCCTCATCACTGAGAGAAGTGGGTATTATTCTCCTTTCTAGCCCCTCTCCCTGCCACTCCCACCCCCTTTATTCCTTACACATATATAGGAGAACTTCTGGATCTCCCAAGCAGCAGACTGGGATTTCACAAACAATTCCCCAAAAAATGATGTCCTGGAATGGACTTATCCAGGATGGTAAGTCTCATAGTTCTACACCTTTCTACTATATGGGACCACACATGCTAACTTCTCCTAGAGGTTCAAATGTGAGACATCAAGAAGGAATCCCGGATGTCTACTATATGTAGTTTGACCAGTTGTCCCAGTTTTATAGACTATCCTGATATTTGAGGCGGTGTCTTATATAGGCCCCTATAATCTGCCCACATCCTGATTTTTCACACTTGTGCTCTGATCAACCTTACCACATGGTGGCAGCAGTGAGGGTCACGTTTCAGATTCTGTAATGTTCATATTGTTTCCAAAGCCTTTCATACAAAGCCCAAGTGGGCAGAAGTAGCTGAGCATCAGGTTAGAAGCACATGACTGCTTATGCAGCCTCAATGAAATAACAGTTTTTTCTTATTTGGCACCCTGCTCTTCTGACATTGCTGCCCTTGTAGACAAAAGGCTGAAGATTACAAATCACTGGAATTGATTCCTTCTGCCTCTAGAGAATCCTTTTCTACACAGAAAAAGGGTAATAGAGGGCATCTGCCCAAAGTGGACTGTTAAGAGGAGAGGGGTGCACTGTGCTTACTGAAGTGGCCTAAGATCATTGTCAAGATGCTTAAGGGATATGGAGCAGAGGAGAGAGATTTTTTCCTGTTTTTTTTTTCCTCCAGCTTTGCTCTCTTCTAAAGCAGCTGCAGGGTCAGTGGCAAACTGCAGCACCTCAGAAAGAGAAGCCAAAAGGAAAAATATCACAAGACACAAATACAGCTCTGGGATACAGCTGAAATGATGAGTTACTGAACCAAGTTAATATAAATCTGAAATAAAGTTTTGGAATTCTCCTCAGAAGAGCTCGGCATTGTGAGGTCTAGCTAAGCCTGTCTGTCACTGTAGAGAGAGAACAAAACTGGAGAGCATTACAGAAGGCAGGACATTCCACTGATTCGAATAATGTGACTGGTCTGGTTCTGTCTAAGGCACAAGTCAGCTGGACACTCAATGTATGAATATATGGAACGTAGCCTTGAAAAATTGAGTGATTTTTCAAGATACTAAGCACCTGAAGCCCCATTTCATTTCAGGCAGGTTTCCAGCATTCAAAAAGCTGGAAAACCAAGCCATTATTAATTTGCTCAAGGCTAAACAGCTAACTCATGACAGAGCCAGGTTAAGAAATCAACTCCTAGACCTATTCTCAGGGTACTAGATCGGGGTGGCCAAACTGTTACAGACGAAGAGCCAAAATAGTGGTGGATACAGCACAAAAAGCCTAAGGAAAAAAGTGTTGGGGGGAAGCCCCGGCCACCGCATTTTGTCGAGCAAAAAAAAGGAGGGGCACCCAGCCGCCACCCTTTCAAGAGCAGAGCAGGCATTGCCCTTTTAACGCGGCCATTTTGAACTCTGCACAGGATGCTGCGACTCCGGCTCTGTATGGCAGACACACACACGCTGACCCTTTCAGAGCCGCAAGTGCGGGAGCCTCAATTTTTTCTTTGAAGAGTCACTTGCGGCTCGCAAGCCACAGGTTGGCCACCCCTGTACTAGATGCCTCAGATATCAACTGAAACATTAACTAAGGTTTTTTAACCTAGTACTTGCAAAAAGTCTCCTACAAAAATGTACTAAGTGAAGTAAAAGTCTTATGTCTAAAGAGTTTAAAATGTAAAAAAATGACGTATGCATTACAAAAGAAAATACTGTAGGATCTTTTATTTCCCAGTCCAACATTTAGCAGACAAATCTCCATAGCAAAGATCAGTTTTGGCAAATTCAAAATTGATAAAATTCATAATTATATTGTAAACTTATTGCCACAGGAAGTCACTGAGGCCAAGAACATACCAAGAATCAAAACAGGAAAAAGTATCCTTGTTTATCTGAAAAAATTTCCTTTCTTTTAAGATTTAACAGTCACAGATGTGTTTCAAAGAGAACGTCAGCCTGTTTTCAAATAGAGAACAGAACCAGACCGCTCAGTCACTGGAAACAGGGTATTGTCATGCCTCATCAAATTCCCTCCAGTTGACAACTTCCACAGTAAGGATAATTTAAATCTACTTTCCTAAATTACACAATGCATTAAATAGAATTTGAGGAAAAAAACACCAAAATGTATCATACTGCTAAGCACGGCAAATTCTACCTCAGCTGCGGCGCTACCATAACTTGCCCTCCTCCCATCCCTGTTCTGGACAGGGGCTATTGCTGGACTAGTCTCTGTCTGCAGCAGGCCCAGGCTTGTCACAGACAAAGGCTGCTCCGTGGGAGGCAGAGCAGCCTCTGTCCGTGGGGTGCTCAGACCCCATCTGTATCAGAGGCATTCACATTTAGACTACTCGCATTCCCCTCCCCTTGCTGCCTCTGTAATAGAGGTAGCAAGGGGAGAGGGAGAAGGAGGTGCTGATGCTGGCTTAAAAACTGCTTCCCCCCAGCAGCAGCTTCATGGCAGTCTCCCCTGATCCCACTCCCCCACGCTGCTGCCTTTGATAGAGGCAGCAGCATGGAGTGGGGAGGCAGCACCGCAGAGCTGGTGCTGAGGGGAACTAGCTTTAAAGCCGGTTCTCCACAGCACCAGGTCCTCCTTTCCCCAGATTGCAGCCTCTGATACAGAGGTAGAAAAGGGGGGAGTGTGTGTGTGTGAATGCAAGTAGATGACAAGATTAACTGATAAGCACAGACTTATTAGTTAATTGTCTACTCAACTACTCGTTGACATCCAGACACAAGGCACTTAACTTTTTCAAGACGTAAAGACAGCAATCACCAACCCTCCAAAATATCTCACAATGAGCTATTTCTGGATCCAGAAACCCTACGACTAATCCAGTTTATGCTATGTAAATCTTGGTATTCATCTCCTCCTTAATATGCTGTGCATATGGAGATATGAAATTCTGCTCTACACAGGACAGAAGAATTTCTTTTGGGATATGGATCTGATCCTGTTCTTCCAAGTTACTTTGAGAACTCTATCAAACACATTCACTATCACCACTAGAACAGGTCTGTCATTCACTGAAGAGACAGTGCTCCAACTTCTTAAAGAAACATTGTTCCAACTGGTGGGTATTGTGTTCGCTCTCAAACCCATTTCTTGAACTGAATTCAGTGTGTAAAATCCCATTTAAAGCAAATCTGACTCTCTGCAGTCACCAGTTGAGGGAACAGATAATATACCACTGGAGCTAGAGTACTGCCAACAGATGAGATAGGGTGAGATATAGGTAGTGTGGGGGGAGGGAAGAATGTCTTTAATTACTGGGTAAGTATAAAATCACAGAATACTAGAACCGGAAGAGACCTTAAGAGGTCATCAAGTCCAGTCCACCTTCCCTCATGCCAGGACTAACCACCAACTAGAGCATCCGTGATAGATGTCTGTCTAACCTGCTCTTAAATATCTCCAATGATGAACATTCCATAACCTTCCTAGGCAATATATTCCAGTGTTTAACCTCCCTGACAGTTAAGACGTTTTTCCTCATGTCCCACCTAAACCTCCCTGGATGCAATTTAAGCCCTTGTCCTATCATCAGAAGTTAAGGAGAGTAATTTTTCCTCCCTCCTCCTTGTAATACCCTTTTAGGTACTTGAAAACTGCTATCACATTCCCCCTCAGTCATCTCTTTTCCAAACGAAACAAACCCAATTCTTTTAGTCTTCCCTCACAGGTCATGTCTTCTAGACCTTGAATCATTTTTGTTGCTCTTCTCTGGACCCTCTCCAATTTCTCCACGTCTTTCTTGAAATGTGGTTCTCCAAACTGGACACAATACTCAAGGCTGTGTCCACACTTAAAAAAAGGAACCAAAATATTGGTTGGGGACACTTAGGCAAAACTGTAAATAGAAATAACAAACAAAAAAGTTATAATACAAAGTCAACAAAGATCCAATCACATAAAAAGGGAGTGAGAGGAGTAGTAGCATCTCAAAAAAAATTAAAGTTTATTATGTTGTGCCAGCCTCACATCCTTTGTTTTGTTGTTAATCTGAAGGACTTGATATACTGAAATATAAGAAACATCTTTCTAGGAGCTTGTAGATTTCATTGGGAAGTCAATACTGTAGCTTTGTTACAAAATATTTTGCCACTGGAACTTTTCCAGAGTTTTGGACACCAATTACATTTTGATTAATGCCAATGTAGACACAGCCCAATTGTGGCATAATCAGCACAAAGTAGAGCGGAAGAATGACTTCTTGTGTCTTGCTCGCAACACTACTGTTAATGCATCCCAGAATCATGTTTGCTTTTTTAGCAAGTCTCACTGACTCATATTTAGCTTGTGGTCCACTATGACCCCTAGATCCCTTTCTGCTGCACTCCTTCCTAGACAGTCGCTTCCCATTCTGTATGTGGAAACTTCTTCTCCCCCTCCCTCCACATCCCCATTTGCTGCTTCTGGGAGATTTAAAACCTACCAGCTCCACGCTGCTGTCGAGGTGTGTGCAGACCCCATCTATGGGTGTAAGCTGTGAAACTATTAATTTTTGGAAAACTGACAAGATATTGGTGATGCCAACTCTACTGATTTGATCACAAGTCTTCTGATAATTAGGGCTTCTTTATTTTTTCTGGAGGGCTCCAGCCACAATTAAAGAAACTTCTTCTCCCCCTCCCTCCACATCCCCATTTGCTGCTTCTGGGAGATTTAAAACCTACCAGCTCCACGCTGCTGTCGAGGTGTGTGCAGACCCCATCTATGGGTGTAAGCTGTGAAACTATTAATTTTTGGAAAACTGACAAGATATTGGTGATGCCAACTCTACTGATTTGATCACAAGTCTTCTGATAATTAGGGCTTCTTTATTTTTTCTGGAGGGCTCCAGCCACAATTAAAATTAAGCCAAATCTGGGAACTTCACTACCTGATGCGTCATGCACTGCTATCAACTATGATTGCTCTAATCATATATATAGTAGCCCAATGTCTGTGACTCTGTAATGCTGAAACACTGGCTGTTCCCTCTGGGCGGTGCTGTTGCCTCCCATCGTGGTGCTCAGCCGGGCCGCTACGTGGGAGCAATCATGTTGCTTCCCCCAACCCTACCTGGGGTAACTAAAAGCTAAACCCACGAGCCCAAGTCCATGGGCTGCAGAAGCACATTAGCTTGGGCAGCTCCTTGGCCAACACAGTTTGCATGACAGCAGAGGCAGCCAACACAGCTTCCCAGATCAAGCAGCGCTTTCTGTGACCAGGACTATGCAGGTACGGGGGGGATCTAGGCGCTGCAGGAAGCCATGTGTGCAGATAAGTCCCTGCATCTCAGCCACCCCTCTTCCCTCCCCAGCCATCAGTTGTGCAGGCCTGATTAAATAACTTTCAAACTATGTTGCAGGCCAGACTGGGAAAGTGCAGTTGTCCCCCAGTGCCAACAATTTGAGACCCCTGATATATAGGCAAACCTTTTGCTCCCAGACTGAAAGATTCTAGCACCAATCAGGCATCAAATTCCACCCAGGACTAGGAGACCTGAATATAGTTCAGGGGCAATAGAAGGGAACTAGAGACCCTGAACATGATGTAGCTGCCAATTGCAAAGAGGTATTTTCTCCTGTTATGCTTCATAGCTTCAACTTGCCGGATGACATGTATTTCTTTATATACCATCTGCCAGAAATCAAGATTGCAAGCTGACTTTTCCAATTACTCTGAACCACCCCAGTTTTCCAAAAAGCCTCCTGTTATATCATTAAAATAGTTGGGAACTTCAAAATGTAACTCTCAGACACTAGCCCCATATTTCTGCCTGAAACAGATCTGAAGCCATATTTTCCCTTTTCCCATGCAGAGAAAAGCCCCTCAGTCATATAATTTTTAGGTTGAGGGGGACCATACCTGCAACACTGTCCACCTGTTAGTGCTGATTGTGAAAGAATGCTGAGACACTGAAATATGAGCTATCATCTGGCTCTATTTGTCAGCCACCTGTAAGTTTTCATGACCAAAGGAGGGAGTTGAGAATGTATGTGCCTGGATGTAACTACTTTTGACAAGTCTATGCAGTGAAGAGGCAACACGTTCGGTTCACACTTGCTCTCAGGTAGAAACATCAAGTCCCTAACAACCAGAGAAATATCTTAAGTAAGATTTTCTATCTGGCATATTACCCTTCTGCCTTCAACTCTTCCACAGAAATGAACTGCTTACCTGGAGCTAGTTTTTTTCTAGTTCTACCTGCATCCTTTCTTGCCAGGAGAAAAGGCTCAGGTGACCCTCGCCTGGTCCAAGCTGCATCTTGCCTAACAAAGCTAGTCCTCCCATCCTGTCTGGGGAAGAATGGCTGAGATGATCCCACCCAGACTGTGCTATGAGAAGAATATTATATTCTGATTACAGAGCTGCTCAAGACACTAGTTGTGTAGGAAGGTGAGAGCAACACACACAGACACACACCCACCCTTCCTTTTGACTCTGGCTTTTCTCGGAGCTCACTAGCTCTCTCTCCACCCCTCCTTAAAGCCTACAAAATTGTCAAATACTGCACAATACTCCAGATCCTCAGTTGGGGGAACAGAGCTAAGGAAACAATTTCCTCAAAAATCAAATGCAGCCTTGGGTCATGGCTGGAAATTACACAGAAAAATTATTGAACCAACCTGCTAGTCTAACCATTAGAAATAAAATTTGGAATTGCCCTCAGAAAAGCTTGCAGCAGAGAAGTCTAGTTCAGCCTGTCTGCCACTGAACAGACACAGAAGACTAGAGGGAAATTTAGGAGATAGGGTATTTTCCTGCTACCAATATCAAGTGGGATTTTGCCCCTAAGTTGCAAACCAGCTAAAGTACTTATTGTAATAGTTCTGTGGACCATATCATGAACAAGACAGGGTGGATATTTAACACGGATATCACAGAAACCCAGTATTATCATGATTATAAGAGAGCTCATGAAACCTAAACAAGGAGGCCAAAGGTAATGTTCACATTAACTGTACTAAACCTCTCACCTGTAAATATAGTTCCTTGACATCAAAGTAGAGGCAAACACACAACTGCCATTCATACTGTACCTGTTCCATTCTTAAACAGAAAACCACAGACTGTAGAGATACCTATTTGACACATTTTATAAACAGTATGTTGTTGAGAGAAAAATAAGAAGTTCTTCTACTTTGTAAAAAAGTTGACAGAGGGGGAAAAAAAAAATCTTACCAGATGTGTGCTAATAAGGCAGAAGGCAGTCCTGTCTTTAAGAATAACTCTCTGGCTTCCACCCCAGAGACAAAACCATCCATGTCTTTGTCAGTTTTCAGGAAAATTTCATCATATTTGATTTTGTCAGCAGGTGATACAACCCACTAAGGGGAAAAAAAAGTTAAGTCTCTTTGAAGACAAATATATTTTATCTGAAGGAACAACATACCACTCTAGTACTAAATGTTCAAGTAACATCAGTCTTTGTAACAAATAACTGCAATTAGACATCTTGGAAAGATCTACTCCCAGTCACTTGGTTCAGTGTTGACCAGAACAGGTAAGACGTTTTGTCTCAATTGCTCTTTTTGGACATATCCCAAGACTCATTTATTTGAATAATGTAATTTCTCATATTATCTCACTGTGCTGTTATTTGCATTAGCTACCAAGTCCCCTCACATCCCACACGTTAATTTGCTTGCCTGGTGGTTACTGGATTTGTCTTTGTGCCAGATCAAAGAAATGTCATCTGGCTCTGTGCTTGGGCTATTTTGTTGAGAGTGATTAAACATACATTTCTTAATGTTTTGACCTTTGTATGAGGCTCATAATGCTTTAAAATAATCACTTTTTGACTAATTTTTTAAAAAAATTCCTGAAGCCAAACTCATGTAGAAGACTTCTAAAAATCATTTCCAGTAAATGTCTTCTTAGCTGGTTAAATCATATTTGCTTTCCCAATCTGATAGTGCCAGCAGCCACCCCAACTTTCTTGTCCAACAAAAACAGCCACTAGATTAAGCTAGTCTGTGTGATCAGACTCATCTACATAACATCGTTCATTACAAGCATTGACTAAAGAAAACACTTCAATGCAAGCCAATTCTAGCACTATACCTGTGTTAGTGGTACTTTGGCAGGTAAAATGTTTACAGGAGACAAGGACTGATGAGAATCTTTAGGAAATGTTGCGGATGAGATCAACTGTGCTGCTCCTGAAATACTGACAGTTTTTCTCTTAGAAAGTGGCACCAAAACTGAAGGCAATGACATTGGCACTGGTTCCTTCTCCAAAGCACAGTACACCAAGAACATGGCCTGAACATGAAAACAAGATGTGATGGTCACACATTAACCAGGATTGTGGGTTTTTTTATTTATATTTTAAGTAGTAACCTAAAGTAACTTTGAAGCCATCTAAAATACAAAAACCTTTTCAAAGCTTAGAGGTGCAACTTATCCAGCACATTTTGGGATATATTTTACAATAAGGTTTTCAATGATTATTTAGCCTTCCCCTCTTGGTTTTTGCTATTTATATACCTATCCTGTCTGTTTCAATTTCAGGGGGATGGTCATAGCTCCAGTGTCACCTCATTTTTTAGAGCAGCAACTCAGTTAATTCACTTTCCTGTTTTATTTAGCAGTGATGAAAAGAAGCAAACACCTACTTAAACTCAGTATCTACTTCCCAAACCAGGAAAGGAAGGATAGCCTTAAGGTTAAAGAAATGGACCGGATGAATGATCTGAAGACCTGAATTTTGCTCCTAGATCTACCACAGCAAGTAACACACACCTTTGGGCAAGTCACAATCTCTCTGTGCCTTTGTTTCTGATGTCTGAAAGCGAGATCATCATATATCCCTACCTCACAGGGATATTACAGGGATAAATTCATTAATGTACAAGGCATTCAAACCACAGGAATGAACACCATAGAAAAGCCTATCAATAAGCAAGTGTAACCATTGAGTTCAATGTTTCCATCAGAAGTGTATTTAAACACTAGAGACTATCAAGGTAAATGTACATGAGAAAAACATAAAATGCTTTCTGAACATTAGCCGAAGAGGCATAGCCCAGTTATACTTTGTCCTGTCTGCTAACTTCATATGCATCCCATCCCATAAGAGAGCAGTACACATCTCCTCTGAAAGTGGGGCTCCAAGCAGTATTCCTTATTCTACAAGAATAATATTTAAAAAAATCCTAGTCAGATATAGAAAAATGCCTTTCAAGGGGTACAATCTGCAAGCCCTCTCAAATTAGAGTCTATCTTGCTGCTCTCTCTGGCTTGACCCATTAAACATTAGCCTTTGAAATTCACTGCCAAGCACTGGAGAAGCTTAACATCTTTTAAATTAGTTGTAGAAAGTTGCTGGATGATTCAGCAACCACCACTTTTGGGTCTAAATCAGAAAACAATTTAAGTAGTTAAATCCCACCAGGCCAAGTGCACAAATGTTGACAATGGAACAGAGCTGAAAGATGTTCCACATAGCCTGTGCTCCACATTCAAGCCCTGGACCTAACACGTGTTGGCCAAACTGTATCTTCCTCCCCCCAGAATGGCCAATGGGACCCAGAAACACTGGTGTTGGGGAAGGAAGGAGAACTAGCTGGCTTCCTTAACAAGGTCTCCCTCTTTGCTGCTGGGATTGTCCCTCTTTGTTGCCAGCCCCCTCAACATCCTTCACCTGTGGAGGTAGCGAGTGGCCTTTGTTTATATTCATTAGTCTCTTCCTGAAATCATTCCACTTAAGAGTTGTAATTTCACTGGGGGGGTTATACTTTAGTAAGGTTCAAATCTTAGAAAGGGTCACTTTAAGACATACTATTTCATAAGATTTTATATACCATCCATTAAGTTAATTAACCTCTCTTTGCTTGCCTAGTAGGCTAATTCTTCCTCAATCAAATGAATCAACTGTTTTAGCATTCAGCTAAATATGTAAAAATTACAGCACACACATATATAAAAGTCATAAGTATGGCAAAGATGAATGCAGGTGAATTATCACCATGTATATCGAAGTATGTTCACAACTACAATTAACTGAAGATTTAAATAGCTGATTTTAGAAGAATTTGAAACAAGGTGACAGCATAGGTGAAAACTGCTGCAGCAGTTACCAGTAAAAATATTTTGTGGGTTCCTTCATCTTCCTCATAAAGGTGCCTAAATATCCATGTTTACATGTCAGAGAGAAAAAGTTTCAGCCTCACACTGAAAATGTTGATGTTTGTCAATAAAATGGAGAGAGAATGGTGCTTTTCCTATTGGCATTTTTATCCCAAGAAATATAAAAGCTTTTATTGTGAAGTCACTGCTAAACTTTCCAATCTTCGACTCAAATATGAAAGAGCTATTGTTGTGTCAGTTTCTGGAGGCCCAAATTTAAGACAAGCTCTTGGCACGCATACCTAGTTTCCCTTTACACAGTTCTGAAAGTGTCTCTTATTTTTCAAAAGGCTTACACAGACAAATGAGTTTGAAAATACTGTCTTAATGCTTATCATGTTTTAACCTTTGTAGTATTAATACTATACCTTTCTCTAACTAAAAAAAACAAACCCTCATACATTTCCTTCACCCTGATTAAATGGTTCTTTCTTCTCCACTTGACCTAAGTAGAAAATATGCCCCTTTGACTAATGCAACATCAGTGCAAGACTACAAGTTTTATTTACTCTTCATCCTCAAAATAAAATGTTTTATGATCATCCTTTTAGATCAGTTTTTCCAAATGTTCAATTTGGTCACCCAATATCAATGCAAAATATGTTTTAGAATTTAAGAATGTTATTGTAGAGTGCATATCTACTTTGAAAGCACTTGTCCCCACTCCACATGCCAGTACAGTAAAACCTGCGTTATCCAGCACACCCGGGTATTAGGGCATGCCAGTAACCTAAAAATTCTGGTTATCGGGGGGAAGAGGAGGGGAGCAGGAGGCATGTGGGGCCTACGGAGGGGCGGGCATGGGAGCCGTGTGGGGGCTGGGATGTGGCCTGCTGG